TGGTTGGGATGCTCACTCATCTGGCTGTGGTGTGGCTAGAAATCATTTTTGGTGCGGGGGTGGGAGGGAGTCACAAACAGGAACTTGCTCAATGCTACAGTGGCAACTGGGGGGTTGAACTCACAGGCTGCCACTTGTAGTTTCAGCCACTGAACTATCCCCTAGGTCTCACAAGACTGATAAGTAGTTAAATGTAAGACAAGATAATGTCACTTCCACGACTGACCCATAAAATCATTCAACAGATATTACTTAATTTCCTTTGCCTGGTCAGTAACAAGACAGAGGAGCAAGGGTTTCCTCCTTCTCTATCTCCTCCTCCTTCTCCTTCTCCCTCTCCTTTTTCCTCTCCCTCTCCCTCCTCCTCCTCCTTCCTCCTTCCTCACCTTCTTCTCCTCATTCTCGTCGTCCTCCTCCTCCTCCTCATCTCCTCCTCCTTGTTCTTTCCTTATTCTTCGTGTGTGTGTGTGTGCGCGTGCGCGTGCATGCTTTGGGGATGTTCAGAGGCTACTCCTGACTTTGTGCTTGAGGGTCCCTCTTGGCAGTGCTTGGGGACCATGCGGCTTCCGGCGTGCAAAGCCTGTGCTCAGCCTTTAGAGATACCTCTCTGGTCCTCTTACTCACTTTGCAGAGTAACGCCAACCACAACGCTTACCAGATACAACCATACAGGATCATTGTGTGAGGGAGAAGTGAACTTTTGTTGCACTTAGTCATTGAGATTTTTGGATTATCTGTAATAGTAATTTGTCTAAGGAGCTGGAAAGGTAGCACAGCAGGTAGGGTGCTTGCCTTGCATGCGACTGACCCAGGTTAGGTTTCCCCTGCATTCCCAATGTTCCCCCGAGCACTCCCAGGAGTGATTTCTGAGTGCAGGGTCAGAAGTACCCCTGGGCACTGGTAGTCATGGTCCAAAACAAAACAAAACAAAAAGCATAGTAACTTGTGACACAAATACGGTGATGGCGTTTACTGTGTTCTTGAATTTCCTCACTGCTATCTTCAGGGACGCTGAAATGGAAACTTGGGGATTTCACTACAACCTGAATAGCTCTGTTTTTATGTTTTAAATTTCTGTCATCTATGACATTTGCTTTTTGTGGTTTTTTAAATTGAATTTTCAAGCCACACTTGACAGTACTTAGCTCAGAGGATCCTCCTGGGTCTGTGCTCAGGGGTCACTCTTGGTGGTGCTTGGAGGACCATATGCAGTGCTGGGGGTCAAACCATGGTGTGATGAATGCAGGGTAAGCACCTTAACCCCTGTATTGTCTCTTTGACCTGACCAATGGCATTTGATATATGAATATATAATAATGCACATACTGATAACTTCAAAAGGCACAATGTTCTACCGTAAAAATACATCTTCTAGGTTGGATAGAGATCTCCATAGGCTGAGCACATGCTTTGCTTGCAGGAGGCCCGAGTTGATCCTTGGCACTGCATGGTTTCCGAAGTAATACCAGGAGTGGCTCCTGAGCATTGCTGGATTTGACCCCAAAATTTAAAACAAAAACAAAAACACACAACTTCTTCAGCCTGGGGAGATAGTTCAAAGGGCTAGTGTGCATGCTTTGCATATGGTAGGTCCAAGTTTGATCCTCAGCACCACATGGTCCCCATAGTACCTAGCTTCTGAGCACCCTCAGATATGACCCAACCCTTCCCCTTTGGAAACAATCTCAAAGGGGCTGGATAGGTAGTACAGTAGACAAAGCACTTGCTAAAATCAAAGTCTGGAAAAACAAACAAATAAACCAAAAACTCAAAACGCTGCCTGGCAAAAACTGCAGAGCTTTGTTGCTGTTGTTGTTGTTAGCAAGGACCTGGCCTTGCTAATAAAAAAAAATGTGCCCCTTCATTCCCTTGGGAATTTATGTCCCATAGAACCCTCAACAGAATCACTTGCCCTGTGTGGTTGAAATTCTTGGCCTGAGTTTCTCAAGTGTGACACTGTTGATACTTTGACAACTACTTCTTTGTTGTATGGGATGTCCTCTCCGTTGAATAAGGGTTAGCAGTGTCCTTTGCCTCTGTCTGCTGCATACCAGTAGAATACTTCCCCCAAACTGTGTCAATCAAAACTGTTCCTAGAATGTAGTGTTCCCTGGAGGAGGGGAACAAAAATCTCCTCAGTTGAGATCTACTGGTTCAGTCTTTATAATCCTGATAGAAGACATTTATGAACCATCTATTTGCTACTATTTGGATGCCTTACACAGCTTCCGAAGTGCTATTTGATGAAGTACTGAACACCATGTTCTGAAAGAAATTATACCATTTGTATCAGACTCAGGGCCTCGAACATGCAAGGCAAGTGCGCTGTCTCTAAACTATATTCTTGGCCCTTTTTGTTTGTCTGTTTTGTTTTCCTGGGCCTCCTCAGCATGCGTAGGAAGTCCTGTGGACACTCCCTGTCATTCTCTGCCAACCAAGCTGGCAGTTCAATGGTAGTGATACAGGATGCCATGCAGCTCTGGCCCTGCAGAGCTTGGATTACTGGACCCTCCCTGGCAGTGTTTGGGAGTCCCCAGGGCTATGCTGAAACTGTAGGTTGCTGAAATTGATCTTGGGTCAGCTTATTTATTTGTTTTAGTTTTGATCTAGTTGGTGCTTGGGAATTAATTCCATTGGACCTGAGAAAACTGTATGATGCTAGGGATCAAACCTGGCATTCACACAGCCCTTTTATATCATTTCCCTCACTCTAACATGATTTGTTTTCAATTCTAGTTTCTAGTACCCAGTATTAGTATGAGGAAAGGATCTGTATATAGGTTTTTTTTCTGTTTATTTTTATTAAAGCAAGATAGTTTAAATCTGTACTTATGGTTTTTTTTTTTTTTTGGTGAAACATAATAGCTTTCATTGAACAAAGCTTACTTAGAAAAATGTAAGGGGAGGGAAAGAGAAATACGCATTCAAGAGAACACTGGCTTGTTCAGAGTGGAAGAACGAAGCAAAGATAAAGACAAGCGAGATACGTGCTTAAGGGAGAATTCCGGCTTCAAGAGCAAGCCAGTATTTATGTTTTTTCCATCTGAATTTCCAGGTTTTGCTGATTTCTGTTTTTTGCATGTAAAGTGTTGATAACTCTCATAACTGTCATCTAATGGAACTCATATCAAAGTCCTGAGCCTTTGGGTCCTCAGCTAGAGAGCTCAGTAGACTGGAGTACATGCTTTGCATACAGGAGGTCCAGGTTTGATCTAGCACCACATCTGCACCATCCGAAAACAAACCAAAACTACACTCCAAACCTCCGAGTTTAAAGCATTTTTTATTTATACATCATTTTTATTATATACTGGTGGACTCCCAACTCAGACAGAATATTACTATTGGCTCTTTGAATGTCTTCTCCCTAGCGGGAGACACTATACAGGAAACCAAATTATAGTTCCAGTTGGGATTACAGGGTTCAGGACAAGAAAACAAGTTTCAAAGTCTTAGTGATCAGAAGTCTATAACAACTCTTGGTGGAATAAATCAATCTACGAGTATTTTGTGTTTGTCCCGAGTTCCTGACCTAGAATGCCCAACACCCTTTGAATTTTCTAAGTGACAGGAACATCTTTGGTTACCCATAACGAGCCCAAGCCCGTATCGTTCTCCCTGGCGTTCTTTATTGAAGTAGCTTAGGGTAAGGTCACTACCTAACAGCCTCCGCATGAATCAGGGTGTCGGGACTCTCTACTCCTGAGCTCAGAAGACAAGCTCTGCAGAATGGAGCGCCGTCAAAACTCCTGAGCTGGACAGTGCGAGCCTCCGCACTGATGAAAGCACCGTGTGCGGGGAGGGCGATCACCCCCGCCCCCCAACTGCACAGCGACACAAGCTTCGATGCTTCAGCACCTTTTTGGAGTTCACCCTAAGCACCTCTTCGTCTGGCTGTTCCTTTGGATCTACTGACTTGGTTAAGTAACGCGTCTTCCCGGCTTGTGTGAGCCATTCGAGGCAATGACTGAATCTTCGGAGGATGCCTTGGGACATTCCTCCTGTACAGTTAGTTCATCAGCACACGAGGTCTGGGGGCTCGTCACGCGCTTCTTTGGTGGGCGCTAGCTAGTCTGACGAGATTCAACCCTTCAGACATGGGATCTTCACTCATGCCAGGTATTGAGTGGATTTGTGGGATCTTCACTCACTCCAGGTTTTGAGTGGATTTGTCGAACACGGTTTCTGGTCATGGAAAACAAACAAACAAACAAACTTACTTCACAGCTAAATGCAGCTAAATGCCCCCGTGCTCAGCCTGTCAGGCGTGGCACCTCAAGACTCGTGATGAAGTTTCCTTCACTTTCAACTTTCACTGTGCTCAGGACCCCTGAAATTTCCTGGCCCGGGGTATTGCTTGGAAAAAGACCCCATTTTTTAAGAAGGACCCACACTGCCCCTCACCCTTAAATCCATACTTTCTCCTGGGGGGCGGGGGACGACGGGGCACGCCCGGCAAGTGCTCAAGGATCACTCTAGAGGGGGGCCCTGGGGGGGGGGTCCTATGCGGTGCCGGGGATCGAACACGAGGCAGCCAGGCCAGACAGGCGATCTTTTTCTGTGAAAACCTCCACGTATTCTGCTTCTCTTTTTTTTTTCCGGTTCGACGACTGGGGTCTCCAAGCCCCCCGGGAGCGGACGACACACCGGGGACAGCCGAGGAACGCGGCCCCTCCGGAGCGCGAGGGGGGCGTCCACGGGCGCGACCCCCCAGAGCCCGGCCCCGGCCCCAGGCTCCCGGCTCGGCGCTGCCATCCGCGAAGGCCGCGGGCGGGCGTGGGCGAGGCCCGGGCCGCGCAGGGGCGAGCGGCGCACGGCCGAGCGCGACGACGCGGCGCCGCCCCGGGGCCCCCGCCCCGCCCCGCCCCGGCCCGGCCCGCCCCGCCCCCTCCGGCCCGGCCGCCGGCCACGTGACCCGCCGTGTTGTGGTCCGGCCCGCGTGGGCGGCGGGGCCGGGGGAGGCGGGGGCGCGCCGAGGGGCGGGTCACGTGACGGGGTTTAAATCTCCCGCAGCCCGAGCGCGGGGGCGCCAGAGCCGCGAGCCGCGCGGGAGCAGAGGAGGCGAGGGCGGCGGGCCAGAGAGGCGGTTGGAAGATGGCGGACGAGGCGGCGCTCGCCCTTCAGCCCGGCGGCTCGCCCTCGGCGGCGGCGGCGGCGGCGGCGGCGGGCGGGGAGGCCGCGGCGGCGCTCCCGGGGGAGCCGCTCCGCAAGCGGCCGCGCAGGGACGGCGCGGGCCTCGGCTGGAGCCCGGGCGGCGGCGGCGGCGGCGGCGGCGGCCCGGCCCCCGAGCGGGAGGTGCCGGCGGCGGCGGGCGGGGAGCGGGAGGCCCCGGCGGCCGGCGAGGCAGACAATGGGCCCGGCCTGCAGGGCCCGGCCCGGGCGCCGCCGCCGGCCGCCGACCTGGACGACGACGACGACGACGACGACGAGGGCGACGAGGAGGAAGAGGCGGCGGCCGCGGCGATTGGGTACCGAGGTGCGCAGGGCGAGGGCGGGCGGCCGGGCGGGCGGGCGACCCCGCGCCGCGCCTCCCCCCCGCTGCCGGGCCCCCCCCCCCCCCCGGCGCCGGGCCGGGCGGGGGGTCTCGGGGGTGCGCGGCGGGGCCGGGCCGGGGGGCGCTGGGCGGGCGGGCGGGCGGGCGGGGGCGGCCCGCGCACTCGCTCCCCGGCGCCCGGCCCCAGGCCCGCCCGCCCGCCCGCCCGGGAGGCCTCGCGCTCTGCGCAGCCGCCGGCCGGGGAGCTCCAGGCGGTTGCGTTTCAAAGAAGTTTTTTCCCTGTTCCTCTTTTTTCTTTTCGGCCTCTCCTCGCTCTTTAGCGTAGTCTGGTTCTTCTCGGTTTTTTCGCTCGGGGTCTTGGACCCACCTCCCCACGCACCGCCAGGCCGCGCGCCGAAATGATCCGCAACTTTTGCGCGTCCTGCGCATCGCACCCCCCCCCCCCCCCCCGCCCAGTGGCGTCTGCTCGCCGACCCCCGTTGGTGCACTTGGGCTTTTTGCTTCGGGACCCTTGTGGGTCAGACTCAAGAAACCCCGTCCGACAGCAGAGCTGTTCCGGAACGTCGCGGCGAAATTCGCAGAAGAGTCATTCCCGTCTGCGCTGCGGTTCGTCGTGGTCCAAGGCCAGGGGTCGCGTTGGCAGTGGACGCGGGTTATGTTCTTAGGTAGTTTGGGGGGTAGGTGTCCCATCCTGCACATCCCATGCGTGTGTCTAGACGCGCGTGGGTATTTGTTTTGTTTGGTGCTCTACCTTCAGCAAGACTCGTTGTTTGGAGAATTCCTGGGATTGGTGGTTATTGTTTTCCAGCTAGAGGAAGGAACCAGCATTGTCACTGAGAAATCTCGCACTTTGTCATTGTCTTGCCCACACGGACGGGGAAGGAAAGGCAACTCTGGGCGTGGGTCAGCCTTAGTTCGCTGTCCATACTTTGGATCTGATGAGCTTCTGCCTGGGCTAAGTATGCGTCTTTATCCGTGCTTGTGTCCATCACTTCAGTGTCGCTGATAGAAAATGAACCAAGTATGCAGTGATTAATTAGCTTGGTAAAAATATCTTAGACATCAAGCAGTAATAGGGGAAAGAAATAATGAAAGGTCTCTGCGCTTCATGTTCTGTGACTGAAAATCGCCCTCCTCAAACTTGTCTAGATTTACTTGGGTAAATTTCGCGACGTTTCATGAATTCCATTATTTTTGATGCGTGAATTTAGCCTGATTAGATAACTATCTTGTGTTTATTAGTTAAGTAGAGTTAATTTAGTTTTAGAATTAGATGAACTGAAACTTTTAAATTCAGTTTGAGAATGGTACATGCTGGTTCCATAGGCCAGAGTTTCTTTGGGTAGCAGTCAGAATGAATGGTAAGTGCTTTATCTAGGGAAAATCTTTTTTTTGCTTTTTGGGTCACACCCGGCGATGCTCAGGGGTTACTCCTGGCTCTTGCACTCGGGAATCGCTCCTGGCGGTGCTCGGGGGACCATATGGGATGCTGGGAATCGAACCCAGGTTGGCCATGTTGGTTGCGTGCAAGGCAAACGCCCTACCCGCTGTGCTATCGCTCCAGCCCCTATCTAGTGAAAATCTTTGCAGCATAATCACTGTAGATTTTCCTGTGTTTTATTTTGGTGCCACATGGATGGAATTCAGAGCTTTCCAGAGGGAGGCTTGTGCTCTACCACCGAGCTATCCAAGCAGCACTCCCTTCGCCAGTCTTCATACATTAAGACCATGGTACTTCAGTAGTCCTGAGTTACTTGTGATTTCTTTTGCAGATGACCTTCTGTTTGGTGATGAGATAATCACCAACGGTTTTCATTCCTGTGAAAGTGATGAAGATGATAGAGCCTCCCATGCAAGCTCTAGTGACTGGACTCCAAGGCCACGGATAGGTATGGCTTCACAGCTTTATTTACAATAAACTTATAAATTAAAAAAAATTTCTGCAGTGATGGGATACGAAGTCAGGGTCTCCCACATGCAGTGCAAAGTGCCCTATCACCCAGCTGCATCCCTGGCACTGGTTTCACAGCTTTAGAAAGTAAATGACGTTTTAAATTGTTTTGGGGCCACACCTGGCAGTACACAGGGCTTACTCCTGCCCCTGTGCTTAGGGATCGCTCTTGGTGAGGCTCACGGGACCATATGGAATTCCAGGAATTGAACCCAAGTTGGCTGTGTGCAAGGCAAGCACCCTACACCATACCCTCTGTACAATTTTTTTAAAATTTTATTTTCAGTTTAAGCCAGCTAAAAATATAATTTCCTTTTTTCTCAACTTGGTGATGAGGTTTTCATGTGCTTGCTGAGATTTAATGTCAGGTTACATTTCAAGGGGATGCATAGTGTGTTGTTTCTTTTTGTTTTTAAACAGATCAAGTTCATGAAACCTGACTTCTGATATTTCTTTAATTGGTCCTCCTTACATCATTGGGTTATAAAGTCAGTAGAAAGAATGCATTTTCTGCATTTCAAGTGCCTTGTTCTTTAAATCTTTTTTTTTTGCTTTTTGGGTCACACCCCGCCATGCTTAGGGGTTACTCCTGGCTTTGCACTCAGAAATTACTCCTGGCGGTGCTCGGGGGACCATATGGGATGCTAGGAATCGAACCTGGGTTGGCTGTGTGCAAGGCAAATACCCTACCCGCTGTACTGTCGCTCCAGTCCCCATTCTCTTACTTACCCTATTTATAAATTATTTTTTCTTTAACATTTCATGCTCCCCATTCCCTCAAATTAGGGACTGTTACACCTGGCAGTGCGCAAATCTGTAATGCTTGAGGAGCAAGGGTAACCGGAGCTAGCAGTGCTGGAGCCACCAGGACTATACCTATGAACTTTAAATTTCCTCCCTTCTCTCCCATCCCTCCATTGTGGTGATACTATGATGACGAGGTCAACGTAGGCCTGACTGTGGAGCTTCCATAGTTGTAATTGTGCTTGCCAGGGGTTGCACATTAGATTGCAGTATTCACACTCAGCCAAAGTGCTAATGAGGTTTACACTCCTTTCGTTGTGATGCTTGCTTATGTTCTGGCCAGGACTCACACAGGCAGGCAAGTCAGATTGTAGTCCTTGCCAAGTTCACTGTAGTGCTAGTAGAGGTTTCATATCTTTTTGGTTGTGGTGCTACCTAAGGATCACAGCCCCTTTTCTGTAGTGCTTAAGACATACTTTGCACAGCGTGTCTGGAAATGTGTGGCACAAGGGATCAGCGATCAGAGCTGGGTGACACTCGGTGCATGTGGGAGGTCAGTGGTTTGAGCTTGTGACCGTGGGTTTCCAATGGCAAGTCTTACAGCTATTCTCTGACTTCTAAATATATTGTAAATATATTTTTACCACTAAAACCATATCCTAGGCAGGAAATACTTCAAAATAGAGAACACTGTCAGATTTTTGTTTTGGGAGGATCTCACTCATGGCGAATGCTCAGGTCTAATCATGAAGGCTTGAGGACCATTAGAATCACCCTTGGCAGTTCTTAGTATACAGTATAGCTTTAGCGCTGAAGATGTGAGAGTTAAAATATCTTTAAGTTGCACTTTCTTATTCAATGAAAGCTTTAAATTAAAGATAGCTATTTCATTACTTTAGAAAATAAATGAGGTTTTGAATTACTTGCAAGTGATCTTATTTTCCTTTCTCTTCATACAGGCCCATATGCTTTTGTTCAGCAGCATCTCATGATTGGTACAGACCCTCGAACAATTCTCAAAGATTTGCTACCGGAAACTATCCCTCCACCTGAATTAGATGATATGACACTGTGGCAGATTGTTATTAATATACTTTCAGAGCCACCAAAAAGGAAAAAAAGGAAAGATATTAATACAATTGAAGATGCTGTGAAATTACTGCAAGAGTGCAAAAAAATAATAGTTCTAACTGGAGCTGGGGTATGTAAGATACATAAAAAACTTATTAAAAGAGGCAATGGTGGGGACTGGAGCAGTAGTAGCACAGCTGGGTGGGCGTTTTCCTTGCACGCAGCAGATCCGGGTTCGATTCCCAGCATCCCATATAGTCCCCTGAGCACCACCAGGAATAATTCCTGAGTGCAGAGCCAGGAGTAACCCCTGTGCATCACCAGGTGTGACCCAAAAAGGAAAAAAAAATAAAACTACATTATCCCAGGGCAAGAGAGATGGTGGGGATTGAACCCTGGTGGGCAGCTTTCGAGGCAAGCACCCTACCCACTGTACTGTTGCTTTGACCCCAGAATTTAGATTTTTGAGGTAGAAGAATCTTGACCCAGATGATAATTTTCTTGAGAGATATCTTTGGATATACTTAACTGTAGTAGTAAATATGCCTGTTGTTGAAGGTACTATACTTGGTGGTGCTGGAGGAAGGTAGGTATATGTCGTGCTGGGGTATTCCATGAATGGTTGCTGTTCTGTTTGAGTTATATCCCTCTGGCCCTTTAAAAGGTTTTGGGGTGGGACTCGGGCTCCTCTGGGATTGTTCTCTGCGGTCTAAGGAACCCTGTCCTGCTGATGTGCTTCCCTCAGACATTGCATATACATTGTACATTGTATATGCCTAGCTGTCTCCTGAACCTCCCTTTATTTTTATTTAGTCACTGGAATTACAAAGTTGTTCATGGTTGGGTTTCAGGCATACACCATTTCAAAACTGGTCCCTTCTAGCACCTACTGCTTCCCTCCCCCAATGTTCCCATCCCCCGCCTCACTTGCCTCCCATCCTCCACTTGCTTCTAGGAGTGATGCTGTGTGTCAGTATACGTGTTTTGCACTGGTTTATAGTTGCTGATAAGGTTCCATTCATAACACTTCGTCATCTTTGAGCACTACCTCCCTCTGTTGAATGCTACCCTCCACCATAGATGGTGCCCCCCCACTGTCCTATTTCCAGCCCCCTCAAGTACATGTTTCCTATAGAATACCACTTCTTATGTTCTTCATTTCTGTTGTCTTTAGGTATTCGTTATTTCACCATTATTACTGCCCTTGCCCTTAAGAAAATTACTCATTTTGGAGTTTGGGCCCAAACCAGATAATTATTTTTGTTTTGGGGGGCCACATCCAGTGAAGCTCAGGGCTTACTCCTAGCTCTGTACTCCAGGATCACGCATTTTCTTCCCTTTTTTTTTTTTTTGGTGAGGGGGGTGGGGGGTAGAGTCTTGGCTACACCTGGCAGTGCTCAGAGATTACTCCTGGCTCTGCTCAGAAATCACTCCTAGTTTGTTCAGGGAACCATAGGGGATCCTGGAGAGCAAATCATCGGCCAGGTGCAAGGCAAATGCCCTCCCTGCTGTACTATCATACTGACATTGCTCTTGCACCCTCCAGGATCACTTTTTTTTTCTTTTTGGGTCACATCCTACTATGCTTAGGGGTTATTCCTGGCTCTGCACTGAGAAATTAGTCCTGGCAGTGTTTGGGGGACCTTACAGGATGCCAGGGATTGAACCCGAGTTGGCCACGTGCAAGGCAAACGGCCTACCCTCTCAATCATTGCTCTGGTTCCTCCAGGATCTTTTCACAGTATTCGTGGAACCCTATGAGGCCCTGGGGATTGAACCTGGGTTGTTTGCATGCAAGGCAAGCACCCTACTTCCTTGCTTTACTATTTCTCTGGTTTGGCCCCTTTCTTAAAAAATATTTAATCTTCTCCCAGCCTCCTCCTGTGCATCGATTGAGGACTGTTAGTGACTGGCAGTGATGCTTGCACATTTTTAGGTGTGGAGCATGCTGGCCCGGTGTTTCAGGTTGATGGTGCTTGTGTGCTTGGCTACAGTGCTCATTGAGGTGTGCACTTCTTTAGTTGCTCACACTCTTACATGAAGTTCATATGGTTGGGGGATCACTGTGGTGCCCACCTGTGCTTGCTGGGAGTCAGAGTCCTGACCGTAATGCTCAGACATCTCTTTTACCTGGTGCTTATGAAGATAGGGTGGGGAGGATGATGGGGAGTGCGCTACTTTTTTGGGTGCTTTCACACCTGGCTGTGGCGCAGATGAAAATCACTTGGGGCACCAGTTATAGGAAGTTGAGCTGTGAGGGTCAGAATTGCCCTTGGTGCATGTTTGGGATAACCGGGATTTGAATGAATGACCATACTCTTGCAAGGCAGGTGCTGGTGCTCTAAGCCAATGTCCAACCACTGGTCTGCAGACTGGTGACCCTCTGCAGGTGTAGAAAGATTGAAAACCACTGGTCTGCCACGGTGGTGGTTATAGCCATGGGTCCATGGGCCAGTGTAAAGGACAGATGCTGGTCTGCAGGTAGGTGTTAAAAAGCTGAAGGGACTGGAGAGGTAGTACAGCAGGTAAGATGCTTGTTTTGTACTTGGTTGACCCAGATTCGACCTCCAGCACCCCATGTGTTCTCCCAAGCCTTCTAGGAATCAGCCTGACCACAAATGAGATTGGCCATCTAAAAAAAAAGTTGACGATTTCTGCTCGAAGTCTTTAACCCCTCCCCTCATCACTTCTTGCCTGCCTCGAAGTTTGAGTAATTTAATATCTTCTCAGACACATTGCAGTTGCCTTAATTAGTTGGTTGGATGCTTCAGGTCTTTTTTTGTCTTGTGGCCACACCCAGCAATGCTTTGGGGCTATCCCTTGTTGAGCACAAAGGAATCTTTCTTGGGGGACCATATACAGTGCTGGGCATCAGGAGTTGAATCTGGGTTTCTTGCATCTTCAAGTTTTGACGTTAACCTAACTTAAAGTTTTTTTACTGTATGAATAGAATATGCAGTGGGAATATGCAAGATATTATTATTCTACTTTTTATGTCACTTTTTTTTTGAATTAGGATAGGATTATGTTTCTGTTGCCCCCAAATTTCAAACTAACATGTTTTTCTGAGTTTCCCTAATTATATGATAAGAGAGCTGATAATTATAAAGGTAGAGGTAGAAGATTGATTTGTATAATATATGTCATACATGTTTCAGGTGTCTGTTTCTTGTGGAATACCTGACTTCAGGTCAAGAGGTGGTATTTATGCTCGCCTTGCTGTGGACTTCCCAGACCTTCCAGATCCTCAAGCAATGTTTGATATTGAATATTTCAGAAAAGATCCAAGACCATTCTTCAAATTTGCAAAGGTACTGTGAACTATTGTTTCTGTGGCTTCTTAATGATAAAACACTGTTCACACACAGACTTTTTAATGTTACTATTAATTTTCTAGTAAACTGGGTCCTAGTACTGCATTGCATTGAAGTCATATTATCTTCACAGAATGGTGGGGGCTATAATCTTTTTTTCATTTTTAAGATTGGACTTATCCTCAAATAAGAGACTGTTTCATATTTTCCAAAATTGTAAATCAGTGACAGCCATTACACATCGTCCTTAAAACCTTTACGAGATTGGAACAGGGGCTAGGGAGGTAGAGCAGTGGGTAGGGCGCTTACCTTGCACACTGCCACCCTGGTTTCAACTCCTAGCATCCCACATGGTTCCCCAAGCACCGCCAAGAGTGATTCCTGAGTACAGAGCCAGGAGTAAGTCCTGAGCATTGTTTGGTGTGTACCTTCATGCACCCCCCCCAAAAAAAATCGTAACATAAAAAAAACCAGTTCTGGTTTTTAAAAATTTCTATTTTTACGTACTGTGGTTTATAATACTGCTTATAATAGGATTTTATGCATAACACAGTCCAGCACCACACCCTTCCCCATTGTCCATTTCTCTCAGATTGTCCTAGTTTTCCCCTTGCCCCAGCCCCCCATGTTTTAATTTTGAATATCTTTTGGGTCATAAGGGTTATAACATCTGTCTGGGTACTTTTTGTAATTACCAGGCCTTCCCTCGCTTTCGGTCAGTACTCATGAACTCCTTCTGGCTTGCTGTTTGGGGAACCTGTGTGAAGCTGAGGATTGAATTGGGGTTAGCCTTACACAAGACTAGTACCTTAATCTCTGTACTATCTTCCCAGTCCCCAGCAGACAGATTGAAAGATGTGAGACTGTGCCTGAAAAGTTTGTGATTAGGGGTGAAGAGTCTGAGTTTGCATTTCAGTCTAGGTTGGTTTCTGCATAGAGTTTCTAAAGATGTGTCATTCACTTCACCTCCACTGCCCAGTGTGACGTAGGATACTTGATGAGGGTGAGGTATTACGTGCAGAAGATGGACCAGCTTTTGAAAACCTGCAGAAAAAAAACAATGTATTATTTCAGTGATAAGAAAACAATATAGTGTCATTATATTATTTATAACAAAGTAATATTAGTAGCAATACTTTTTTATATATAAAATCATAAAAATGTCATCATGGTCTTTGTGATGCCTGCCTCAAACCAAGGAACCAGGACTGAATCAGTGTGAGATGAGGTCATCCCCTGTCCAGTTTTACAGTCTTAATGTGCTTGCTAGAAAGTTTTGAATTATGGCTCCTGTTACATTTCTGTTGTACAGCTTTGCTTCGAGCTACCATTGTTTGTAAAAGCGAGCATTACCTCCCCCAGTAATCTCAGGTGCAGTTGAAGGTGCTTTCTGTTTGCTTTTAGACTTTTTGGGGCTACTGAGTGATTTTTCTAAAAAGGGGCGGTAACTCCTCACCCTGAAAAAGTGATTTATCTGGCTTACACTTCCTTTAAGTTGGATACTGTATTATGCCCAAGATAGGAAATGTTTTTACCCTGTAATCTTGAAAGAAACTGTAAAATTGTTCCTGCCAAAGATGAGCATATTTGAGAAGGCCTTGTATTAGTGACTATTTTTCAGGAATTCTAGAATTTATAAGTATTTTCACTTTAATAAAAGGGGTGACCTCATGGTGTTTCACTAATAAGAAAAAAAGAAATATCAAAAAAAAAGGGTAACCATAGATATTTTCAAGTTAGTTACAAGGAAAACTGTTTTCTGAATTGGATCTCAGATACAGTTCTAGTTAGCAGTGATTTATACTTATTTATTGTAGTCTGAAGACTTACTAGTAACTTAAAATTGGTTTTAAATTATAAAGGCTTAATTGACTAGTGCGTTTTACAGTACCTACAAGACCTTTGCTGTAAATTCTGTGATTTGAGAGAAAATTAAACATGATCAGGTGAGCTTGCCCCTCTTCACTTAAATATATACTAAATTTCCTTGTAAAGTACATGGGAAATTGTAGTAAAGTACATGGAAAAAATTAGGAATACAGAGAAAGACCTTAGTTTTTTTTTTTTAAACTTTTTGGGTCACACCTGGCAACACACAGGGGTTACTCCTGGCTCATGCACTCAGGAGTTACTTCTGGCAGTGCTCTGGGACCATACGTGATGCTGGGAATCGAACCCGGGTCGGCCACATACAAGGCAAACGCTGTGCTATCACTCCAGCCCCTAACCTTAGTTTTTTAAAGTGAAAACTAGGAATAAAGTTGTAGAAGCAGTAATATTGTCACACTGTTACTATGTTATAGTGTGTGCGTGTGTATATCATACCATCTATAAGGTGGTAGTGCTATAGCATTTTTCATTTCTCTGGAGGTCTTGAAAGTTTGTACATAAGGAACTAGAATGATAGCACAGTGGACAGAGTGCTTGCCTTGCACTCAGCTAGCTGAGGTTCAACTCCAACACCCCATTTGATTCCCCTCAGCTTGTAAGGCGTGATCCCTGAGCACAGATCCAGCTGTGAACCCTGAGCACTGCTGGGCGTGGCCCCCAAACAAAAGGTTTATGCCTGGTGTTAGTAAATCAAGCAAAAAAGTAAGTTCAGTCATTTTATAAAATGCGTCCTTCTCTAGTGTTTATATAAATGCTCTTTTGTTGTTTTCCTGAGTGTTAAGAATTGGCTTAATTGATTAATCTTTATATTTGCTACTTGGAGTTGATGTTTTTAAAATTAGGAACTGCCTACCTACAAACGCCTGGAATCTAGCAGTAGAAGGTAGTACTTGAAATTTAGTAATAGGAGGGGCCAGAGCAATATTGCAGCGGGTAGGGCATTTGCCTTGCATGCGGTTCTCCCAGGTTTAATCCCTGGCATCCCATAAGATCCGTGAAGCACCACCAGGAGTAATTCCTGAGTGCAGAGCCAGGAGTGACCCCTGAGCATCTCCAGGTGTGGCCCCCAAACAGCAAGAGTTACGGAGAAATAAAAACTAAAGGCTGGGGGATAACATCCAAAAACAAGATGGAGAGAGTATGTGAATATTGTTATATTTGACTAGACTTTAAAAAACTATATGGATCTAAAATTTACTTTCTATCAACTGTCCTAGGGAGAAAGTCATTAAGATGGTTTGTGATTTTTGCTTGCTAGAGCAAAGGAATTTAAGGAGTCCTTAAAATAGGAGTTTGTGAAGTTTAAAGAAATTTTGAAGGGAAACGCTTTCTAAACATGTATCAAATGTCAGTTGTGTATAATTATTGAGAATAAACCAGATTTCTTTTTCTTATTTTTTTCGGGGTGGGGGGCACATCTGGTGATGCTTGGATTGGTTGTTGCTGACAGGGGATAGGGGATCAAACCCTAGTACCACCTCCTGCCCACCAACCTTTATTCTTTGTGGTTCTGAAATTTCTAAATAATGAGATGTATTAAAGAGGTGTTTACTGGCCTATTTGGGCAGTTTCTCTACATACTGACATTTCAAGGTGGTTAAAGTCCTTGATGTGAGGAGCACTGTGTCCTATGTATTATGTAGCATTTCAGCAGCATCCTTGGCCTCCTCACTAGATGGCATTGATACCTCCATCCTTTGTCTTGACAATCAAAAATGTTTCCATAGGGTTGGAAAGGCAGGGCAGTGAGCAGGGAAGGTGACTCAGATTCTATTGCTGGCACCCCTTGTGGACCCCTGATCCCCACCAGCACGGAGGTAGGAGTAAGCTCTGAGTAGAGCTGACAGTGGCCAAAGAACAAAAACACTTGTTCTGCTAGAAATTAAAAATAAAGCATGGGGACCAGAGAGAGAGAGAGAGAGAAAGTACAGACTGTAGGACACTTGTCTTGCATGAGGATAACACTCTGCCATCTTTGATCCCCAGCACCCCGTTTGGCAGCCCCAACATGTACCAAGAGTGATCCCTAAGCACAGAGCCAGGAATAATCTCGGAGCACCACCAGATGTGTGGCCCAGAAAGCAAAAAACAACAACAAAACATGTTTCAAAAGAGTACTGTGTATCTCTTACTGAATGTAGTGAATCTCTCTTTTCCGAAGTGATTAAATCTCAAGAAAAGAGAATGAGGGGCTGGAGAGATAGTACAATGGGTAGGGCACTTGCCTTGCCTGCGGCAGACCTATCCGCTGTACTTGCGCTCTGGCCCCTTGTATTTATTTTAAATTGGAAATACTGAACAGGTTTAAAGGCAATCATTTAGGGTCAGGGGATATGGCTCAAGTCGTAGGGCTTGGGCCTACAGGCTTCTGAAAAATCATGAGTACTCTAGGTGGGCCTTGCATGTTGCCCACCCAGGTTCAGTCCCTGGAACTGCATACAGTCACCAAAGCACCACCTCTGGTGATTCCTGACTGTAGATTCAGTAATAAGCCCTGAGCATATGAGTGTTGCCTCAAACGAAAAACCAGTCAAACCATGTATTGTCTTGCTCAAGTCAGAGTTCTATTGTGGCTATAGATAGCTTGATTTGTGTCCCTCCTGACAAGATGCTTGTGTAGGGACTTAGGGACTTCCACAAACATCTGTATACATGTGCATACAGTTTCCATTTTTTGCTTAATAACAAAAACAAAACACATTGGTGACTAACTTGCTTTTTCACATATGTAATGGACCATCTCTCAGGTCAGTGTATCTAGACTAACCATTTCATTTTGATGGCTACATACTCCACCGTTAGGGATGTATCGTGTTTCTACAACCACTCCCCTCTTGATGGGCTTGGTTGTGTCTGGCATTTTGCTAGACTTGAAACAGGTTGGAGACTAATGGATGCTAAGGAAGTAGATCATTTACTTCCTTAAGGAAAAAGTAGAGAAGACATCCCTTACTAAATGAAACTTAATAAAAACAGTCAAAAGTTGAGAGGACCAAAATTGATACTTTTTCTCTGATCTTTTTGCCATGTGTATATCTGAATTCTTTGTTTCTAAAGAAGAAACAGCATTGAAGCGTTATTTGGGGGGAAAAACACACACACAAAACCCAGCAACTCAGCATTCATGAGCAACTATATACTAGACCAGTATGTGCCTGTGCAGTGGAAGGAAAGCGATTTTGGTAAGGAATTCAACTTGAGCTTTAAACTTCCAACAGGTCGATAGAAATTTTTGAATGATGAATTTTTAAAAATTAGTATTATGTTGACAGTGCTTTTAAGAGGAGTCAGCAGACCTTTGATACCTGTGAGTTAACACTTTTCCCATTTTAGTTTTTAAAAAAACCCTGAATTTGCAGCCAACATTTTTTTTGATGTATCTTAAGGTGTGTATTTCTTCTGAGTTTATCATCTATAAATTTTTATTAGCGATGTTTATGGACCAACTGTATTGTTTTCATCAAGGACCAACATTCACTGTTTGCTGAGTTGTATACATATTATAGCAACAATCCTTTTGTAGGTGTGTGTTGCGTCCAACTAGATGCTTTGAGATGCTCATGTATGTTTTCTATAATTTATACATGGAGGTATCACTGGTAGATTTTTGGTAAACACAGATGATGCGATTATTTTTAAGTAATCTTTGTTTCTGCCATTTGTGTTATATAGGAAATATATCCCGGACAATTTCAGCCGTCTCTGTGTCACAAATTCATAGCCTTGTCTGATAAGGAAGGAAAACTGCTTCGCAACTACACTCAGAACATAGATACACTGGAACAGGTTGCAGGAATCCAAAGGATAATTCAGTGTCATGGTTAGTAAAATGTTATGTGTTCATTTTGTTTCCCAGGAAATATTTGGATTTAAAAGCAGGCTGGGCTGCAGTGAATGCTTTTTTCATGCAGGATGCCTGCGGTCGATTCTGGGCTTCTTGCGGTCCCCTGAGCAAGTTAGAGCTGGATGTGGCCCAAAAATGAAAACAAAACCAAAGTAGGCTGCCATCCAGGAATGAAGAATTAAGCTTCTCAATTTTATCATATTATCAGATCAATTATAGACAAGACACGTAGACGCAAGACATCAGATATCAATGTACTTTCGGACCTGGGATTACTTTTTTTTATTCTTCTGAGTTGTATCTTTAGAAACCAAAGGAACTGGGTTATTCAAATGAACAGGTTTCAGAAAGAAGGGTTTCCATACAAACCAAGTGTGAACAGATTTTTCTTATTACTGTAAAAAACATTCACAATTTTGTTTTTGGTTTTAGGGCTTTGCACTCAGGAATTACTTCTTGCAGTGCTCGGGGGACCATAATGGGGTGCCTAGTCAGCCTGTGTAAGGCAATGCCTTACCAGCGGTACTATCACTCCAGCCCTGAAAACACTCGCTTTTTATTAACATTGGTTTGCAGGACTAAATGTTTGTGTGTTTTAGGGAATACAGTGTTATATTACACCATGCCCTTCACCAAGTCTGTCAATAATCCTGTATCCTAGTTCATTGGGCCTCCCCTACACTTTCCAGCTCATTCTTTCTCCCTCCTTGGTAATTTTAGTTTTGCGCTAAACATTTTCTCCGATATCTAGATATTTATTTAGTTTTGGGGTCTCACCTGTGCTCCTTGCTCAGGAATCACTACGGTCAGGGTTGCGGGACCGTATGTGGTGCAAGATACCAAACATAGTCAGCTGCACGCAAAGCAAATGGCCTCCCTGTGGGACTAGTATATCCAGACTTTTAAAACCACAGTTGTTTAAAAGCAGCTGAGGTTTAATTATCTCAGGTTTTGCTGTATTATATATGGTTATAATACACATGATATCATACGTATTTCATGATAGCATGCATGAATTCGTACACTATCATCCCCTAGAGTCTTCTGTGAAGTTTCTTAAATTTTCAATTTCCTAACTTTCCTGGTATAGATCTTTATAAAACTTAACATGTCTGTATACATATGAAGACTTTTCTAACGCTAAAGAAATAAAAATATCTTGCTAAAGCAGCATGTTTGTTTTTAGGTTCCTTTGCTACAGCATCTTGCCTGATTTGTAAATACAAAGTTGACTGTGAAGCTGTACGAGGAGATATTTTTAATCAGGTAAGTTATCACATATTTTAGAACGGTGCTTTTATCTGTCTTTATTTCTAAATACTCTAGCTTACTGCCAGCTCATGGCTTATGGATCTTTGACTACCAGCAGTGCTTGGGGTCGGGAGGGGGTGGGGGGGGGGTGGAGAGATGACACAGGTGGATCATGTGTTGCTGGGAATTAGACCTGGGCTTCTTGCAAAAGGAGCATGTTCTCCAGCCCTTTGAATGGTCTCACTTGGCTCTTCTTTCCACTTCTGTGCCTCTCGGATTTGGAATCTTAAATTAGTTGTAATTCTTGGGGCTGGAGCTATAGCACAGTGAGTGGGACTTTTGCTTGCCTTGCACGCGGCCGAACTGTGTTCGGTTCCCAGCATCCCATATGGCCCCCCCGCCCCCCCCCCCCCCGCACTACCATGGTAATTTCTGAGTGCAGAGCCAAGAGTAACCCCTGAGCATCGCTGGGTGCGACCCAAAAAGGCAAAAAAAAAAGGCGTTGTAATTCTTAAAACATTTTTTTAAAAAAATTTTTATTAGTGAAACACCTTGAGAGGTACAGTTGTAGACTTTTTATTAGTGAGACACCATGAGGTACAGTTGTAGACTTACAAATTTTTGTGCTTGGGTTTCAGTTATACAACGATTGAGTACCCATCCCTCCACCAGTGCCCATTTTCCACCACCACTGATCCCAGTACCCCTCCCACCCCCCATCCTCCCCTGCCTCTGTGGCAGGGCATTCCCTTTTGTTGCCGCTCTCCTTTTGGGTGCTGTGGTTTGCAAAAGAGGCATTGAGTGGCAATGTTTGGTCTATAGTGAAAACATTTTTAAAAGTCTTTGTAAAAGGTTTTATCTCTGAGCCCGGTGTGGCCCCCAAACCAAAAAAATACGGGAATAATTTTGTTGTTGTTGCTTCATAGTTACTAAATGTATAATCATGAGAGGACACAGTTGTTCAAGTAATGGTTGTGTCCTAGAACTTGTATTTTGTAAAGGATTCTCTGTCAGTTTTCCTTTGAATACACTGTGAGTAGTTTCCGCCCCCCTCCTACCATCCAAAAGCTGCTTTTCTCCTTCCTTTCTTTGTTGTACACTTGTGATTTACCAGGGATTACATTGGCATTGCTAGGATCAAATTCTTGACTTCCCTCATGCAAAACATTCTATACTCGTATCTCTCAAATAAGAGCCATTTTTCTCTGGGCTCCCGAGATACTCCAAATGGGACACAGCTATACAATTTCCCAAATCGGGTGGCCAGGCTTAGGATGGGTATTAGAGGCACAGCATGGAAAACAAGGTCAGAAGAAATATCCGCACAAATACAGATTCCTTAATATCGAGAATTGACACTCAGGGTGTATCCAGTTTTCCTGGTCTTTATCCACAGCTTCTCTGTTTTCTTTAATAATTTTGAAATGGGTTCTTAGGAAACAGAGAAATGTTGATTATTTTTAACTTGGGCTTTTTCTTTCTCTTACCAATATTAACCAAAAACTGGAACACACAGGTGGTTCCTCGATGTCCTCGATGCCCAGCTGATGAACCTCTGGCTATCATGAAACCAGAAATTGTCTTTTTTGGTGAAAATTTACCAGAACAGTTTCACAGAGCCATGAAATACGACAAAGATGAAGTTGATCTCCTCATCGTTATTGGGTCTTCCCTGAAAGTAAGACCAGTAGCACTAATTCCAAGTAAGTTGGCGATAGGGGACCTTTTTAAATGTATGCTGTGTGGGTTAGGTCATTACAGTAGACCCAAGCAATCATACTCTCTTTCTGGCTAAAAACATGGCAAAGAGCCAGACTTTCCTCTTCTGTGTAGCTTTCTCATTTATGAAGATTAAAACACTAATCTTGTTAAATTCTAATGTGTATGAATATAAACAGCTTAATCTTTTCAGTGGAATTCCTGTTGCTGCAGTTAGCTTCAACTAGTATATGAGAGAGTTCAGTCTTTAGTTGCTCTTTCAAATTGATTTTAGGTGAAGTTAATATATTTCTTGATGTGTAATGAATTCATGTAAGATAGGATTGGGGGCAGGAGACCCAGAAGTAACTGGTTTGGGCTAGAGTTTAGACTCTTACCTTACATGAAGTTGGACCCTGTTTCATCCCTGGGACTGCATATGATCCCCAGAGCACTTGTCAGAAGGAACAGGTGAAAGTAAGAAGTGAAAACTACAATTCTACATTGCTGTTCCACCCCCCCCATACTCCATAAGAATAGTATAACTCAGTCTGCCTTAAATAGCCAAGAAATTCTAGTAAAGTACAGTATAGTAGAGTTTGTATTAAACATAAAAATTACATTCATGGCTCCTTTATGCTAAGAGTTTTCATAGACTATCAGGAGATGTTTCAGTATGATTCACTTGACATGTTCATTCATTAGATCCACAGTAGTGTTGCATATTGGTACTGTCATTCCCATTAAACAGACAAGAAAATTAAGTTACAGAGTGGAAAAGCCAAAGAAGATAGTCCAGAAGTAACCAAGTGACAGGAGCAGAATCTAGAAGATGCTTCGTTCCTTTATTGACTTGATGACTTGATTTATTATTCACAAGGCGCAGTATTTGTGAAACCTTTAGTAGTCACAAAAGGTTTCTCTTTTAAATTGTCGTGTAGTGCTTTTGTTGTGGCTTGGTTAGCTTTCCTTCCTTTTCCTGATTTTTCTACTTTGTTTCCAGGTTCCATACCCCATGAAGTGCCTCAGATATTAATAAATAGGGAACCTTTGCCTCATCTGCATTTCGATGTAGAGCTTCTTGGAGACTGTGATGTCATAATCAATGAACTGTGTCATCGGTTAGGTGGTGAATATGCCAAACTCTGCTGCAACCCTGTAAAGCTTTCAGAAATTACTGAGAAACCTCCACGAACACAGAAAGAGTTGGCTCATTTGTCAGAATTACCACCCACACCTCTTAATATTTCTGAAGATTCAACTTCGCCAGAAAGAACTTCACCACCAGATCCTTCAGTGATCGTCACACTTTTAGACCAAGCAATAAAGAGTAGTATTGATGATCTAAATGCATCTGAATCGAAAGATTGTATGGAAGAAAAATCGCAGGATGTACAGACTTCTACTCGGAGCAGTGAAAGTGTTACTGAACAGTTGGAGAGCCCGGATTTAAAGAGTGTTGGCTCCAGTGCCGTGGAGAGAAATGAAAGAACTTCTGTTGCAGAAACAGTGAGAAAGTGCTGGCCTGCTCGACTTGCAAAGGAGCAGATTAGTAAACGGCTTGATGGTAAGAAAGGCTGTTGAGCCACTTTTCAAGTGTCATTATTTTAACGACGCTCTTGCAAGAAATGAGCAGTTTTGGCAGGTTAGTTGATAGGGCTGCTTTGTGCAGCTAAAAACGCTTGCTTTTGTGTTTAGAGAAACTTCAAAGTTGAGCATAAGTTACGGAAATATTAACAGTGTTTTACATGGTATGGGGAAGCAATTATTTACTTTTTGCTTTTTGGGTGACACCTGGCGATGCAGATGCACAGGGGTTACTCCTGGTACATGCACTCAGGAATTACTCTGGGCGGTGCTCGGGACATTATGGGATGCTGGGAATTGAACCCGGGTCGGCCACGTGCAAGGCAAACACCCTGTCCGCTGTGCAATCGCTCCAGACCCCAATAATTTACCTTTTAATGGTGCTCTGTATATTGTGCTTCTTTGGGGAAAAAGATGGCACAAATATAAGGGGAGAATATTGAGCTTTGTTATTGTTTGAGGGGAGCTTTACCCGATAGAACAATGATTCAGGTTTCTGTTCTTACCTGTAGGTCCCGTTATACATACTTTTATCTGATTTTTATTTCATCAGGTATATTACCACCATTACTTACTAATGTTAAATGGTGGCCTCGGTTAAATCCCAGGCACTACCAAAAACACAAACTTACTCTGAAGTTAAACCTAGAATCTTTTTTTTTTTTTTTGCTTTTTGGGTCACACCAAAAAGTTACTCCTGGCTCTGAACCCAGGAATCGCTCCTGCGGCGTTGGGGAACCATATGATGTCCCGGGGATTGAACCCGGGTCGCCTGCATGCAAGACAAACACCCTACCCACTGTGCTATCGCTCTGGCCCCTAGAATCCTTCTGACTAGGCTTTTCTCCTGGTTAATGTTGAGAGGACTCAACACTGGCACTCTAGGAAACTGAGGATCGAAGTGAAATAACATACAGCAAAACCAGTTTTACCAAAAGTGAAATGCTAAAAATGCCAACAGCTTTTATTGGATTACTAGAAATAGTAAACTTGTAAATAGAATTGATATTCAAGTATTCCTCAGCACTTCTGGGTAAGGCCCCCAAACCCCTCCCCCCCAAAAAAACCCCACAAAAACGAAATATTCCAATATTCCACTTCAGGCTTGAGGGTGCCCGGAGCCTGATCGTCTGCCTTTGGTAGACGCCATCCCTAAACATGAAACTTCCTTCCATTGCAAGGCCCATCATAGACCCTTAACTCAGACGGGACATTCTAGACATAACTTACAAACTGAGGTGAAGGGACTAGAGAAAGTGCATCTGGACAAACCTCCACATAGACGATTGCCCTGGCTTGACACTTTTTTCCCCACCAGGGTTGTAGCAAGGACCTGTTGTAGCCAATGTAAACATTGATTTATGTTGGATATATAACAGCTTTTGCCTTCGGAGACTCTGAGTTCCATTTCTGACAGTTTAAAAAATAACACCCAAATACTTAATGAAAGCATACTATTTCATTGCAACAATCTACTATGTGGTAGAAAGTGACAAATTTAATTCATGATCCTGCGTTCAGGGGCTGAGGCACTTGTCTTGTCGTCACCCAACTCCGTTCAGATCCCTGGCACTACGTTTCTCTGAGCATCACCAGGGTACTTGCAGGTGTGGGCAAGAAAACTGGGAGAAAACAAGTATTATGTTCTGATCATATGCTGTAACTGAATTTTACTTTTTACCGAACCCACGCTAGGCATTGTAGCCTGTCAAAAAAGCAGACCGAACTTGGAGGAAGTGATCAGTAGAGGCTTTCCTATACATGCTTTTTGGTTTTGAATAACAAGTAGCTAGAATCAAAAGTAGGGATATTTAGGGCAGAGGATGTGAAAACTTTCTTTGCATTTGAAGCCTTGGTTCATTTACCAGCCACATCAACAAAAACATAGTTTTTCCCCAGGGGAAACTAGAAAAAGCATAATGAATAATGAATGTGGTAGAGGTACCATAGTCAGGTAATAGAAATCTCTACCATAAAAAAGTCTTGTGCTTTGGGTTTTCTTTAAAGATTTAATAAATTTATATTTAAATTTAATATTTAAATTTAATAAATTTTGTTTTAATAAATGTATTAAAACAAAACAAGTGCTTACCCCAATAAGACTGAATCTTGAACAGTCTCTTTGGTTTAAAACCAACCAGTTTTTGGGTTGATTTTGAGTCACTTCCAGGCCTGTGCTTTCAGGGTCCCTCCTAGCAGTACTGGGGGACCCGTGGTAGGGAATCAAACATGGGTTTCTTGCATGCAAAGCCTGAGTGAGCTTCAGCCTATTGAGCTATCTTTTGACCCTACTCTTAAATATCTTATGAATGGGAATAAAATAGCACATACTAGCACTATTAATATTTAAGGACTAGTATGAAACATTAAAACGAAAGGGCCAGTGAACTTACATTCGTCATGAGATCAGGGTTTAAAAATGAGGTGATTTTTAAAAAATTTTTTTTGTTCACATTCAGCCGTCTTCAAGGCTGGCTATGCAAAGGGATCACTCTTGGTGGGGCTTGCGGGATGTTGTGGAGTGGTATGGATTGAACATGGATCAGCTGCTTGCAACGCAAGCAAGCCATGCAGCACTGTTCTAGAAGCATGGGCCGAAACTGAAAACAAGTGAGATGTCTGATAGGATCATCACAAGGGAGATGACTGTGAAATAACCAGACAGGGTTTTTCTATCTGAAGCTTGAATCCAAGTATTACTGTCCTTGTTAAAAAGTACCACTGGCCTAGGGGGCTGGGGTGATAGCCCAGCAGGTAAGAGCATTTGTCTTGGCACGTGGCCCACCCAGGTTCGATTCCCAGCATCCCATATGGTCCCCTGAGCACTGCCAGGAGTAACTCCTGAGAGCAGAGGCAGGAGTAACCCCTGTGCATCGCCAGGTGTGACCCAAAAAAGAAAAAAGTCACACTGGCCTAGAAAACACTCCTAAAGTGAAGGCAATGGGTGTGACTTCCTTGTTGGATTAAGTATATTAATGGGCTGTGAAATTAGCTTTGTGAATTCTGACATGGGGTTGAGTTTAGGTGATGATGTGATAGAAAGTTATTTTGAGTATAAATGTAGTTACACTTTGTATCAGCTAGTCAAGTCTGACATCATAAAATGTGGTGAGAGAAGGTCAAAGGGCTAGACTTCTTGTTTCGGATGTGGGAGCCTGGGTTTGATCCAGGATCCACAGTACTTGCCAGGATATTAGCTACCAGCAGCACTTTGGTTGTGCCTTGAAAACTACTTTGTGTGAAAACACTCGTTGGAAGTTACTTATTTTAAGTGTACTATTGGATTTTTTAAAGAACTGAACTAGTGTAGTCACATAAGGTAGGAATCGTCTGGGGCCTGAAAAAAATAGTTGAGCTGGACTTGAATGCCTTTGGGAAGGCAGCGCATTGCCCAGAGCAAGGCCAGTTGTGTCCTCCTGAAGGAGACTAGAACATCTTAGAGCTGTTCTTGAACTGGGGTCTATAGGTTATGTAGTGATTCCCATTATACTATTGCTACTATAAATCTGGGCAAAACTAAGATTTGTAAGCAGAAGAATCTGTTTAAAAGAACCACCACTGTAAGAGCCTCTGAATAATGTGGCAGAGCTAGAACCTTTTATTGTATTAATAAGGCTGAGGTGGTTTTAGAAAACGTTAAAAAAATAGAGCCTTAAATATTTATTTCATTGTATTTCAGGTAATCAGTATTTGTTTTTACCACCAAATCGTTACATTTTTCATGGTGCTGAGGTATATTCAGACTCTGAAGATGACGTGTTATCCTCTAGCTCTTGTGGCAGTAACAGTGATAGTGGAACATGCCAGAGTCCAAGTTTAGAAGAACCCATAGAAGATGAAAGTGAGATTGAAGAATTTTACAATGGCTTGGAAGATGAAGCTGACCTTAACGAGAGAGCTGGAGAAACTGGACTTGGAGCTGATGGAGGTGATCAGGAAGCAGTTAATGAAGCTATACCCACGAAAGATGAACCAACAGACATTAACTGTCCATCAAACAAATCATAATGTAATTATTGTCCAGGTACAGGAATTGTTCCACCAGCATTAGGACCTTTAGCATGTCAAAACGAATGTTTACTTGTAACTCAATAGGACAAGGAAACCAGAAGGGTGTAATATTTATAAACTGGTGAAATAATTATTTTCCCCCATGGATAATTTTTAACTTACTTATTTCTGTACTTGTACACTTAACACTAAAAAATTTTTTTAAAGGTACTAAGTATCTTTAATCAGCTGGTTGGTAGGATTTTCTTTCAAAGCTTCATTTGTATGATACATCGATATGTAAATATAATTTTGTTTTTGCATAGTGAGTTCCAACGTTTTCAACTTTTCAAAAAGCCATTGGAATGTTAAATTAATGGAAAGGGAACAGCTTATCTAGACCAAAGAATGGTATTTTCACACTTTTCTTTGTAACATTGAATGGTTTGAAATCCTAAAATCTCTGTTCTGCTAAACTTGTGATTCATTAGCACAATTATCTATTTTTAAACACTGGCATTTTCCAAAACTTGTGGCAGCTAACTTTTTAAAACCTCCTGACGTGCAATGTGAGTGGAAGATAAGTATGTGGGGGAAGCACACAGTTGTCTTTGCTTTTTAAAGTAAGACTTGGTGCTAAGAATTTCAGGAATATTGAATATTGTATTATTCAAATGACGATGGCTTTTGTACTTCCTGTGGACATACAGTGATGTCTCTTCTATTGGCTCATAAAACTATACTGACAAATAAATAAATGCTTTGGAAATGTTTCAATTGCTTCAGAAACAATAGTGCCTGCCCAGATCCCCTTAGTTTTGAGAATCTTTGCCATTGTTTTAATGCCTATCACTGTGGTGGAGCTTGCATTGATCCTTTCCATAAGTATTATACTGCCAAGTTGTGAATATGCAAAGTCTATGAATCTATAATAATGGTACTTCAGCTGGGGAAGAGTGTAATATTTTGGACTGTTGCTTTTTCTTTTCTTCCATTAGTGATGAGCAACAGGCCCCTAATTATGGTTCCAAAGTGAGATGTTAATTATAACTCAGCCAGTAAGTACGTCTCCTGTTCGGAGGATGTTGTTTAATAAATACCAAACTACTAGCTTAGTGTTATGGAGATGAACCTGATGTAAACCTGTAATAGCAGAATCAGTAATGGATATGAACAAAATCCCTATAACATGTCTTTATTTAAGAGCTTAGCCTGCCTTAAAACTAGAGATCAACTTCCTGAGCTGCGAAAGCTTCTAGCCTTTCAAAAAAGTTCATACTTTAAAAAAATTGCACAGTAGGCATTTATTTTCCAGACCTTTCTCAACATTAGTACCAAATTACTAAGTATTCTCATGTTGCTTTAGTATTTATTACACTTTTTAAAAGGTTTGAAATACAGCTGTTCTGTAAGTATAAATACAAGCTAGGACTGTTATTGCTAGGAGAGGGGAAAATTTTAATGAAAGGCCATTTCGCTATCTTACAGTGTCGGTCTACATCTGAATTTATTTGGGTACACTAAAGAATGCAGTACATTTAGCTTTCTGTTTGCATGATGTGTCTATGTGCTATAGATGATATTTTAAATTGAAAATTTTGTTTTAAATTATTTTTACAGTGAAGACTGTTTTCAGCTCTTTTTATATATTGTACATAGTCTTTTATGTAATCTACGGGCATATGTTTTGTAGACTGTTTAATGACTGGATCTTCCTCCAATTTTTGAAATACAAAACCAGTGTTTTATACTTGTACACTGTTTTAAAGTCTATTAAAACTCATTTGACTTTTTCCTGTTATATTTACATGCTTACAGTATTAATGCCGTGCAGATTTGTATAGCTTTGAGAAAATCCAGTTAGAATAGTACTTAACACATGGATCCGTGTACCAGCTTTTCAACAACTAGTACTAATAAGAGTTGAACTTCAGTCTTTCTAGCCTAAGGGTCCAAGACTAAATCATGACAGACAACCAGCTCATTGGGATTTGGGGTCAGTTCACGCAGGCGGTGGGGGGTTGTGGGAGGGAAGAGAGAAGGGAAAAGCAGGGGCTGGAGTACAGCAGGTTAGGTTCATGTGTGCAACCAAAGTTTGTTCCCTGGCACCTCTTATGGTCCCTTGAGCCATGCCAGGAGTGATCCCTGGTGCTAAGCACAGAACAGGGAGGGGACGTAATAGGGTGAAGCCAGGTTATCCTGAAATCACCATTTCCCATGAATCTCTTGACATCTTTAATAAAAAGTGAACATTAACAAAGGGTGTCATGTGACTGCTCACAACTTCGGCTCCCGTGTCCCCCACCATCCAAATAACTTGTGAATTAGGAATGAAAAATTGTACTGTCCTGGTATATCCTGTTAACACACTTAAGGTCTGAAGGTTAGGTCACGATGTGTATAGAAAGAATGAGGAAAAGTCATACCTTAAAGTGGAGGTGATGCCAGTGTAAGTTTTTTCATTTTTTTTCATTTCATCATCCTGTTATTCGTCGATTGCCTCGAGCAGGCCCCAGTAACGTCTCTTTCGTCCTAGCCCTGAGATTAAATTCAAGGCTCTTTAGGAGAATGAGACCCATCATTGTTACTGGTATTTGGCATATTGGGTACGCCACGGGGAGTTTGCCAGACTCTGCCCTGTGGGCAGGCTACATTCGATAGCCTGCAAGTTTGTCCAAAGTAGGAATGAGACAATAAGATGTCATAAAAAGATGTCCTGATAAGACGTCGCGTGGCTGCAAATGCCGCAAAAGTAGTTATTGTCTTGATCAAATTTGAAATTGGCATATGGGTCTGGAGCAAAAGTACAGCAGGAAGGACGTTTGCTTTGCACGCAGCTGACCTTGGTTTGATCCCTGGCATCCCACATGGTCCACTAAGCACTGCCACGACTAATTCCTGAGTGCAGAGCCAGGAGTAACCCCTGAGCATTGCTGTGTGTGACCCCCACAAAAAAATGGCATGTGGGGCTGGAGAGACTATGCAGGCCACCCTCTTTCACCCCAAATGGTCTCCAAGGATAGTCAAGAGTGATTCCCCAAGTGCCTGGAGTTAAACCCTGAGCACAGCTTACCGTGCTCAAGAAACCACACACACAAACAGCACTTAGTTTGCGACCACTTCTTTTTATATACTTCACTGGTTATTCTACCCTAATAGGATATGCGTTAAATTTACGCAATTCAAATGAATACAAATATTAAACCTATTTAATATTTCTCTTAGTACATAAAGCAATATGCCTTTAATCTGTTTTTGCATCGTAACCTGCTATCTTGTGATATATTTTTACTTGAAACACGTTTCAACCTCTAGATGTGTAATCTTTAAGAGCAATGCGTAAGATTTGAGAGGCCTTTGGTCAACAAAGTGCAAGAAAAGATGGCTGAGAAGAGAGTTCCTTTCAGAGTCTGCCACCATATGCTCTGCCAAAGGCCCTCTGTGTATTACGCTTTTGATTTAAAACTTTTAGGTAAATGAAGTAATAATCGTGTACAATAAAGCCAGAAATTATTAATAGTGGGACTGAAATGAGAGTAAAAGGGCAAAGGACTTCCCTTGCATGCAGCAGACTGGGACTTGGGCCCTGGCAACCATGTGGTTCCCCCAAGCACCTTCAGGAATGATCCTTGAGCACCACCAGAAACCAAGTAGGGGAGAAAATCCTAGCAAGAGAATCTTATAAGCCTTATAAAGCAGGCTCTCTGAGAAAGCTTGGACTCAGATCTTAGGCGTGTCTCGGTTCTGCTGCTGGGGAATGGTTCAGGATCACGACCACGACCATCCTGTTGTTCCTCGATTGCCTCGAGCAGGCCCCAGTAACATCTCCTTTGTCCTAGCCCTGAGATTTTAAAAAAGTGTCATAATCAAGGCTCTTTCAGGGTTAGGATTGTTACTGGTATTTGGCATACTGGGTACGCCACGGGGAGTTTGCCAGACTCTGCCGTGCGGGCGAGATAGTCTCAGTAGCTTGCCAGGCTCTCCGAGAGGGGCGGAGGAATCGAACCTGGCTCGGCCAGGCTGGCTGCGCGAAAGGCAAACGCCCTACCGCTGTGCTATCGCTCCAGCCCCCAGATGGTAATTTTCTTAAAAAGCAAAAGACGATGAAAAACCTTCAACATTAATTCTGAATCTTCCTGCTGTTAATCTGCTATAATTCTGCATCAATATAGGGAGGGAAATAATATCAGACTTATCTAAATTAAATTTTGTATTCCTATATAAGGTGCTAGGTCCTTTTTATAAATGTCTGTTCAATAAACTCCCATCTGTATTAACCCAAGCTGTTAATTCACAGATCAGCTTCTGAGCACACACGTTATTAAGAAAGCATCTGACACAAAACATCTACAAGTTTAAAATATGAACAATTACTACCCTCAAGGAATGGTTGCATAGGGAGACAGTATGGGCACATGGGCACAAAGGAAGGATGAATGTTGCTTTTGGGGAAAAGTAGGTGAGAATGAGAACATCGTTTCTGGGCTCCCATCTAAAAAAGACATCTATGAGGTGCCATAACTTGTCTTGTTTTGGGGCCTCAAGTACCAGAGTCAAACCAGGGTCAATGGGATACAAGGCCTTAACCCCTGCACCACCTCTCTGGCCCTGTCACCGTAATTTTTTGTTGATTTATGAGCACTTAGCAGTTACTCCCAAGACAGTTCTCAGGCAGGGAATGCTCCTTCAGGAGCCTGTGATACTTGAGATCAAACCCAAGCTTCTTGCAAACAATGTGTATTAACCCTTTGAGCCATTTCCGGCCTGGTACCCTTTAAGTTAAGCTACTTACTACACAGTACAAACCCACACTTTTTTTTCTCCCCCTTTTTACGTCACACCCTGCGATGCACTGGGGTTACTCCTGGTTCATGCACTCAGGAATTACTCCTGGCTGTGCTTGGGGGTCCATATGGGATGCTGGGAATCGAACCCGGGTTGGGCGGCGTGCAAGGCAAACGCCCTACCCACTGTGCTATCACTCCAGCCCCATAACCCAACACACTCTTATCCAAAACCTTGGGCACATTTGAATTTTGGAGTTATAAGTGTTTGAGAACTTTTCAAGGTCTGTATTACACAGCATCCCACGAGGGCCTCAGGGAGCAACTATATCAAGCACAGTAAGTATTCAAACAACCCCTGGGGTCAGGGAGATGGCTCAGGTCAAGCACACGCCTTGCCACATGTGAGGCCCAGAGTTCAATCCACGACAACCCATCGCCCTCATGAGCCCTGTTATTTAAAAAATACATTTATGTCACAGTAAGATACTGCAAATACAGGCATACTTCAGGGAGAGTGCAAGTTCAGTATCAAAATACTGTAAAAAAGCAAAAAATGAATCTCTGGTTTCCCAGCGAATGTAATTTGTTTACAGAATATTAAATGTGCAATAGCATAAAAATACACATTTTTAGTTGAAAATGTTTTATTGCTAAAAAATGCTCACCATCACACGAGCTGTCAGAAAAATAGTACCAACAGACTTGTTCAATGCAGGGTCGCCACAAACCTTCAATTTCTAACAAGTGCAATACTTTTGTGAAGCTCAATAAAATGAGGCATGCCTGTAGTTCCATTTAATGTGATGAACGGCCTTACCAATTCAGATCAGATTCTGATGCAGAAGGAGGTTGTGAATTCGTTTCAGAGTTGTGGATTTAGAATTACAAATAGATGTGTATACTTCTATAAATAAAACTAATTTGTATGGGAATGGTAAGAATCCAAAATTTAAGTGACATTCCCTGAGAAATTACTCTGAAGACTTTTGAACCTTACATGAGAACCACTGAACATTAATTATTAAACCAATAATCTTTATTAAACAGTTTTCACGGCATTTTTAAAATAAATTTAAAAAATAAATATTTGCATTATAGCATAGAGTCACAGGTGTTGCATCAACTTCACTTTTACAATTTAATGACACAAGATAACTAAGCATCAGCACCATTAGATTTTTTTTAAAATTCAAGGAAATAATTCTACAGCACTGAAAATTCTGATTAAGTCCCAACCTGTGGCATGAATAGTTTTGAAAGCTAAAATCCAGTGACTGGTTCTCTTAAAAGTCAATGTTTATCCCTGGCAATTGTAGAGCAAAGTCCTCCCATTACGAAGTATTAAGCTTTCTGATAACATCCCATTTATCAGTAGCATCTCAAGATTCACAAAGAGGAGAAAGAACTGTGAAGTTATTTAGGTTTGCATGAGAACACTGATTCTAGCAAGAAAGCAAAAGACATTTTCATCATGCTAATTTTTTACTTTTATAGGTTCTTATAGTATAAGATTTAAATCATAATTTTAACCCTTATAATTATGGTCAGCTCAATTCAATTACAACCATAGAAACACTACTGGTATCAGAACATAACTATTTTATTACAAAACTTAACATTATTTACAAAATGAAAAAATAATCAAATGACTATTGCAGGTCAAAGTTAAAGACTTTTTACCCAGTGATTGAAGAAAAAAATTAAGCAACGGTTCCATGCACTTACCAGATCACTTGTGAAATATGCAAACCCTTAAAATTCATGTTAGTAAAACTTCAATGTATTCACAATACGTGTGTTTATTGGAAGATGGCAAAAAAAATTTCATGGTTCTGTACAATAAGTTTAATATTAACACAGTCTGTTCATTCATTTTCCTTTAATATTTGGCTTTCATGAATATTCTGAGTATTGAACATTTTGCAAGTAAGAATGATACTGGTACCTTTTGTCACCTTGCTGAATTCATCACCACAAGAAAAACACAAATAATTAGTTTAATGCTTCTGCAGTCAACTGAATGTTGTAACTCCAAAGTTATATTAAACTGAAGCCTTCATTGTGATCTATAGCTTGGATCAGTTTAGATCGTAGAGTTTCTTTTTCTGAGTATTTTGGAAGATCCAGAAGATTAAAACAGGTATGGGAAACAGGAAGGTATTCCTCACCGCCTCCTGTTGACTGGATGACTAGTTTCAAGCTCTTCATGCCAAGGATAGGAATGCGATCGCTACCTGTTAAAAATACTACCGAGAAGAAACAATTATGTAGTCAATCGCTCCTCAACAAAACAGAGTGAGAATCAGGGTATCTACTACACTAACTACACAAAGCTTGGCATTTGACCCTTGCTCTGAATGTGGAAGCTTATCTCAACGATCTGTGGTGGCACAGATTTTGAGACACATCAGTACACTTACACCAATTTTTCTTTAGAAGTGATTTAATTACAACAATTATAAAAGGTAAAGGCCCTCCCGTTGATCGTCGATTTGCTCGAGCGGGCCCAGTAACGTCTCCATCGGAGACTTTGTTGTTACTGTGTCTGACATGTTGAATACGTCACGGGGAGCTTGCCAGGCTCTGCCGTGCAGGCGAGATACTCTCGGTAGCTTGCCGGGCTCTCCAAGAGGGGCGGAGGAATCGAACTCGGGTCGGCCGTGTTGGCTGCGTGCAAGGCAAACGCCCTACCACTGTGCTAATCTTAATTATAACACAAGTGGTGCCTAAAAAATGTTTGATGAATGATTCCCATGATCCACCCCTCCCCCCCAAATACTAGAGCTAATTTATAAATCAAACATAAGATTCCCTTTTGATTTTTTTTCCCTTCTTTGTCTTTTTTAAAAAATTGAGTCTTGGGGTTAGAGAGGGAGTACAATGGGTAGAGAGTTTGCCTTGTATGCAGCCAACATAAATTTGGTCCCCTGATCACTGCCAGGAGTGATCCCTGAGTGCAGAGCCAGAAGCAACCTCTGAGCAATGCCAGGTGTGGCCCCCAAACCAATACACATATATAAACAATACGTATGATGTATATAAAACACACACACACACACACACACACACACACACACACACACACACACTATACATATATATACTGAAGTTCTCCCAATCGTGAACAACTTTGTAACTGGGTATTCTCATGGTGATTCAATAAACATTATTTCAAATTAAAGGAAAAAAAAACCCTAAAAATCCACAATGAATTTCAGGATGGTTTCTGTCATTTTATATAAAAATTGTATTTGGGGAACCAAAGTTCAAATTTAAAAAACTGTCATCCTTATACTATTCAAAAGGAAGCTTCTCCTATCAGTGATCAGAAGGAGACTGAAAAGAAAAAAAAACATTCTTGGCAACAAGAGAAGTATTGAATGCCATGGATGAAGTTAAAGTTCTTCACACTTTTCATTCCCTTGGCACCATCCAGGGAGATGGTAACTATCTCTGGTGCAAGAGTGGTAGTGGAGTGTGGGGAAGGAATAGACTTTAAAATTTCATGGGGGTCCCCCTGGGGAAAAATGCATTTAGAAGCATCTGATTTAAATACAAGGATTTTGAGTTCATCTTTAAATAAGTAAAATTTCAGTTAGAAGATAAGTTTTAAATACATCCAAGACATAGTTATCGATAACAAGTCCTGGAAAAGAACAGTTCTATTTTCTAGAGCAGTTCCCGAAATTCTGCTGTTGGAGTGGAGAATAAAAAGGAAATGAAGACTGAGTGCAGAGGAGCTTTACCCCAAATATTTTTCGTTTACTGTAGTGAGTACTCTAGGATTCTCATTTCAAAGAATTAATTCTACTTGGGGCATTTAGCTTTCAACATAATATGTAATGTGGATTAAGAAGTTTTCAAATTCTAATTGAAAATATAAACAGGGCCAGAGAATAACAATACAACCTATGCAAAGTGAATCAAACTTCTCTGAGAATAAGTTTCTTAGAATTCATTCTTACAAATCACAGGAGTTAGAAATACTTACACAGAAACTGTTTTTTCTTTTCCAATGGTAATTCATGAAATACTTCCCAAAAAATTTTTATTGTAGGATGCTCTGCCCAATATTCCCCTTTATATTCTGTATTCTAAAAGGACAATAAAAATTGTACTTTTATTAATATTGAGAGTTAAACAGATTTTTATATAACTTGAGAGTTAAACAGATTTTTATATAACTTTCCTTTTATTAAAAAAATGGTGAGAGAGTGAGTGAGACAGAGAGAGAGAGAGGGAGGGGACAGAGAGAGAGAGACAGGCTGGGGATGGGGTGGGGGGTGATGGGTAGGAAATTGGGGACACAGGTGCTGGGAAATGGACACTGGTGGAGGGAGGGACGGGTGTTGAAAGAGTGTATGACTGAAACCTAATCAGGAAAAGCTCTGTAGGGGTCAATCTCATGATACAATAAAAATGAATAAACATAAATAAATGATACCAGGAACAACACCCTATTTTCTGTGACAGTTCCCAAGATGACCCCCACTGCTACCTCTTCCTACTCAAATGCTATTTAAATAGTCCCTTTCACAAAGAATAGGTCTTCTGATCTCAGTATGATACTGAAAATATGAGAGATACATTATTTCCGAGTTTAAATCATTAGAAAATTCTGTGGCTTCAGTCTATGACTGAAATTCGGGGGAAAACCAGTTGCTAATTCATGAGCACTCAAACTATAAAGAGGTATTTTTGGTGAGGTATTCCAGTCTTTGACCAATAAGTGTGAATGAGCCTACTTGGAAGGGAATCTCAAATATAAAAGTTGAATTAAGTCCCAATTAATGTGTTGATTATAACCTCATGAATAAACTTCTTCACTGCCGTTCCACAGAAACTGTGAGAGAGTATTGTCATCCTTAAGTTTTAGGCGTAGTCTGCAGCAAAAACTTGTTAGTACTGGAGCAATGTATTAAAAACCACCAACAAAAAACCCTCACAACACTTTTGTAGTCTTACTGCTTATGTAGCAAGTGTATACTTCATAAAAAAATGTCAAGAGGTTTGCTATACCATTTAAATTTCCACTGACAATATATGAAGAGTTTCCAATGATTCAGATCATATATGCTAGCTTATTTATTTAGGGCCACAAACAGCAGAGCTCAGGGCTAGCTTACCAGGGGCTTTGTGTTCAAGGGGCTTTGTGTTCAGTCCTGATGGGCTCAGGGGACCATAAGGGATGCCTGGAATTAAACCCAGGTCAGCCATATGCAGGGCCAGTGACCCACTGTACCAGCTCTCTAGCCCCATGCTAGCTAATTTAATATGTGCACAGTATAAAACAATACAAAAATGCCATGAGAAGCAGATAAGATTACCAAGACGAAAATATTTATAAGTAAACTCTACATATCTTTCTCAAAAGTGAACATATCTTGAACTGTTTTGATGGGGTGCGGGGGGGGGGGGGGGGAATTGGGCCACACCCAGCAGTGCTTGGCACTGTTTCCATTGATGTCAGGGATCTCATCAGGCTTCCTGCATGCAGAGCAGGTCTTCTGCCCAAATCTAGTACTTTTAATTGTTTACTTGAAGAATTAGCAGAGAATTACTTGCATGGAAAAGAAGAGAAAAGGTATTTAAAAAGTTACAAATCTCCCTAGAATTTCCTTTATTATGGTACCAGTCATGAAGTACATAAGCATCATTTATATTCTGCTGAAACAATGGTGAAAAAGGGAAGATCAATTTTTTTAGTGTAGGTTGCCTGATTTTATTTTTTTTTTGGCTTTTTGGGTCACACCAGTGATGCTCAGGGGTTAGTCCTGGCTCTGGAGTCAGGAATTACTCCTGGTGGTGCTCAGGGGACCATATGGGATGCTGGGCCCTGAATTTGGGTCAGCTGTGTGCAAGGCAAATGCCCTGCCTGCCTGCTGTACTACTGCTACAGCCCCAGTAGCGTGCCTAAGATTTGAGGAAGAATGAACAAGCGTTCAACTTCACCAATTCAATTTTCTTCTATCCAGCCACTAATAAAAATGACATTTTCTATGTGATCACCACTACTACCACAAATAGAAAAATACTATCCTTGGTGTTGGAGAGACAGTACAGGTGACAGGGCTCTTGCCTTGCATATAGCTGACCTAAGTTTAATTACCAGCACCACAGAGGATAGGGATTTTGCCTTGAATACAGCTGACCCAAGTTTAGTTCCCAGCACCACACAAGCCTTGCTAGGAGTGACCCTCTGAGCACAGAGCCAAGAGCAAGTCCTGAACACTGCTGATTGTGACCCCCAAAACAAGCAAGCAAATAAAAAAGAAAGAAAAATGCCATACTTAATTCATCCACAAAATTCACTCATGACGGAGTAAAGAGGGACAGTACTTTCACATAAATGAGAGTTAACAGTATAAAACAAAACAGGAATTTGGGGCAAGAATTCTAGCAACAATTTTTCTTCTTAAATAATACCCCAGATTTGTTTTCCCCTACCTTTTCCAATTCCTTCCAATCGTAATTTGTATTTCCAATAACCATTGCTTGTAGCTCGTTAGGCTGGAAGAGCTGAAGCACTTTTCCTCCACAAACCTTATGAAAGCCCGCATGGAAAGCATCAAACAAGGAAGCCACTGATTTGTTGAATATGTAATCCACATAAGCATCAACAAACTCCTGCCTGGAAAAAACAACAAATAGATGCACAAAACATAAATGATAATTTTCCCTGGAGACTGCATATTATATTCCTATTAAAATTTTTCAGTGCTCTTAGCCTTTTCACTACTTATTACAAAACAAAATTTGAGAAGGGATCAAAGGAGACAGTTTTTACGGAGTTTATCATTTGTTACAATTTCAAGTCTAGTATACCTTTGAAGTATTGTAGAATTTATCATTTGCAGCCTTTGTAAGCTATCCCTAAGTAAAATGTCATTTCCTACTAGGAAAAATGATGACGTAAACATCAAAATAATTTTAGATCATCAATTATATACTGCTCTACATGCATACGTTAAGTGATGAAAAGATGAAGAATAAAACATTAGTATTGTACATAAACCTTTATATTTGATTTCTCAATCTTTCTCAGTACCGACCCGAGCCCCTCTAGTCATGTTCCCTCGGAAAGATTTTAATGCTATTGTATAGATACAGCGTCCCTCTGAAGGCTGTGTGGGTCAGTGTCTGATGGAGAAGCGTGGGATGACAAGTGTCCACTCCCTCTTGGCCTTTCTCTGGTCCCTTCCCCTAGGGCCGTAGCTGATAAACCAAGAGCACTTCTGTGGCTTGTTTGCTCTTGGGTGTGATGTGGTCGTCTTTACTGTTATTTGACGGGAGATTATAACTTATTTCTGACTTCTGAGTACCTCATAGTCAGGAGCTTGTGGTCTGATGTGGTGGCCCTCAGTCATTCGTGCTTGTTTCCCTTTAAATAAATTAAAATTAAAAAGCAAACGGTCCTAAAGTTCGTATGGAACTACAGAAGACAGTGAGTGAATAGTCAAACTAATCTTGAGGAAGAGAATAAAGCTGGTGGATACATATTCCTTGATATTTCTAGGGTTATACTAAAACAATATGGTCTTAGTGCAAAAACAAATGTTGACCAATAAAACAATAAATAACTCCGAAATAAACCTACACATCCAAAGTCATTTAATTTATGACAAAGCAATCAAGAATATACAATAAAATGGACAAACTCTGCAGGATATAGTGTTGGAAAAACTGGATGACCACATGCAAAAGAATAAAACTAGAAAATAAAGGAATTTTAGACATGATTTCATTTTTTTGTTTTTTTTGCTTTTTGGGTCACACCAGGCGATGCACAGGGGTTATTCCTGGCTCATGCACTCAGGAATTACTCCTGGTGGTGCTCGGGGGACCATATGGGATGCTGGGAATCGAACCCGGGTCAGCTGCATGCAAGGCAAACACCCTACCCGCTGTGCTATCGCTCCAGCCCCGATTTCATTAAGTTTTTAAAAAATTATAGTATCTAGCAGTACAGCATTTATTTGCCTTGCATGCAGCAGGCCTGGCCGACCCAGGTTCGATTCCTCCGCCCCTCTCGGAGAGCCCGGCAAGCTACCGAGAGTATCTCGCTCGCACGGCAGAGCCTGGCAAGCTCCCCGTGACGTATTCGACATGCCAAACACAGTAACAACAAGTCTCACAATGGAGACGTTACTGGGCCCACTCGAGCAAATTGATGAACAATGGGAGGACAGTGCTACAGTGCTATACAGATCCAGCCAACTCTGCTCTTAATTCACCAACTGTAACTGAATATTCATGTTTATACATAGACTGCTATCTCTGTCATAGAATCTCCTTTTAGCTTTTACATTTTCTTATGTAAATAAATGCAGTGAAGTTAAATGTTTAGGAACTCCACCTTTTAATTTTACTTTTTTGAGTCACACCCGTCAATGCACAGGGGTTACTCCTGGCTCATGCATTCAGGAATAACTCCTGGCGGTGCTCGGGGGACCCATATGGGATGCTGGGAATCAAACCTGCAAGGCAAACGCCCTACCCGCTACGCTATCACTCCAGGCCCCCACATTTTAATTTTGCACAAAAACTAACCATTGTGATCCCTCATTTGTTACTGATAATTTTAAACTGAATATACAAAAATAAAGAAATAAAAAGTCCATTGTAAAACAGAAAAATGGGAGAGCCTACGAACACCATATCCACTAGGTTCTGCTAAGAGTAACTTGGGGACATATAATTTTATAATTAACCTAGTTATAAAATCAAATTTATCTGGGGCCAGGTAGTTCAAGAGGTAGGGGCTTAGCTTGTGTGTAGCTGACGTGGGTTTGCGGGGTTACTCCTGAGCACAAAACCAGGAACAGTCACCAAGCATCAACAGGTTTGGTCCCCAAACCCAAACCACTCCCCCAGCAAAAAAAAAAAAATCAAATTTATCTAACTACACTAAATTATTTTTGTGTCACACCCAGCCGTGCTGGGGGATCAAATGTGACACCAGAGACTAAGCCAGAGTTGGCCTGAAGCTATCTCTCTTCAGCACATAGTTACATCTCTTAAGCAAAAAGAACTACATCATTTTATGTGGTAATACATTCTTCATGAGCAATATGTTTATTATCTAACTAGGCAGTATAAAGGTAAAAATTATTAAAATTACTTCTGATATAAATTTTTAAACTTTAAAATCACTTTATATAAATCGACTTTATATAATTAAAATTTATAATTAAAAGCAAAAATACCTAATTTTTCACATTATTTTTAAAATAGGCATTATTTTTTTTCAAAGTAAAACATGCAGTTTTTAATGTCAAATAGTAATAATTAAAAAAGCTACGTGCCGCCAGCAGATCAATCTGTACCTGTGAGGCGAGTGCATCAGCAGCCTCATGGCGCCTTCAGACCTCCAGATACCCCAAAATTGCTGCTGTGCCTTTGGCCAGACCCCAAAATCTTGGGGCAAAGTTTACCAAGAAAGTAAACGGCCAAAAGTTAGGTATGTGGGAAACACACCCACAAACCACCTCCGGCTCAGCTATATAATTGGAGACATGGCCTCTCTGGTTCCTGCTCGAACTGCTTAACTCTGGGATCTGGCCATGATCCCAGAGACTCAGAAACGAATCTCAGAACCCAGCGGCTTTTGGCAGAAATGCGTCCGGACCCCGCAGTAGATTACTGTCGCCGGGCCACTCCAGGGGGGAAAGGGAGCTGTCCCTCCGCCTGCTCCCTCTTGGTGGCTTGGTGGCAGCCATCCTCCAGAAGCACTGGACCGTCAGGTTTGGTCCGGGTGACAAGACACCCGGAGCCTCATGGGATGGGGGTGGAGCCGGCCCTTTCCCCACTCCGTCCCAATGAGACCCCAAGTCGCCACCCACGAACGGCCTGTCTGGCTCCTGATCAAGCTGCTTCACGGCCATGATCCAAGAGACTCAGGAACAAATATCAGAACCCAGCAGGTTTTGGCAAGAAATCCCCCCAGATTTGTTAAAATTTCAAAATCGCGCGGCCACTACAGCAGCCACGTGACATCATATGTTATTCATAACCAGCAACAGAAAACAAATTGTCTACTGTTGCATTTTCTGCAGATCTGAGTGTTGGGGTAAAATCCCAAATAATAATGGTGGGTCTGGTGTCAAAATATTGAATGTAATCGAAGTAGAGAGTAATATGGAAATCATCTGCCCCGCAGGTAGGGGGAGGGTGTGGTATGGGGGTATACTGGGGTTTTTGGGGGTGGAGAATGGGCACTGGTGTTTCATTGTATGACCGAGACTTAAACCCGAAAGCTTTGTAACTGCTCTCACAGTGATTCAATAAATAAAATTATAAAATATGGAAAGAAAAGGGTGGACTTCATGCACAGTTCAATCAGCCTAATCAGTGGCTGAATAAATAGCAGCACTCTTACATAAAAAAAATAAATAAAAAATAAAAAAGCCAGTATTCATTGGGCACATGTAGATGCTATTTCAACATATTAAAATTTTTTGCTTGATTTAATCCTGAAAATAATCTCACACAGTAGGTATAATTCATCTTATTCTACAAAAAGGGGAGATTGAGACATACAGAAATGAACTAATTTACTTAAAGTCATACAACTTCTAAGCAGAATCAGAATTATAATGACTGAGATCAAGTCTGTGGCAACGGTCTTATTAGTTAGCTTGATTAAAAAAAAAAATCTAACAAAATTAAAAGAAACAAATCCTAGGGGCCAGAGCGATAGTATAGTGGGTAGGGCATTTGCCCTGCACACCGCCAGCCTGGTTCGATCCCCAGCATCCCATATGGTCCCCCAAGCACCACCAGGAATGATTCCTGAGTGCAGTCAGGAGTAACATGAGCATTGCAGGGTGTGACCCCCCCAAAAAAGCCAATAAAATAAAATGAAATAATAAAAGCAGCAAATTTTGTGTCCTGTAGCAGAAATTCCCATTTGAAGATAACTATATTAAATACTTTTGCATTGTTAAGGGTTTATCTCACAGTGACTCAACACAAAATTAAAAAAATAAATCCTTTTGCTTCTTATAGTTACCTTCAAACTTTAACAGTATAATTCTACTGTTAATCACTTATCAACTTAAAATATTACCTAATCTACTGGAATATCTACTATTAAAGGTGAGGATTTACCTCTCATTGACTTGCTCCATCTCACATTATAATTTCAGGGCTGATGGTCATTGCTAACACTGTGATCGGGAGCTGGAGAGATAGTGCAGTGGGAAAGGCATTTGCCTTGCATGCTGCCAACTTGGATTCGACCCCAGCATCCCATATGGTCCTCTGAGCACTGCAAGGGGACCTAAATTCCTGAGTGCAGAGCCAGGAGTAGCCACCCCTGAGCACTGCCAGGTGGGTGGCGAAGAACCAAAACACCATGATTATAATAAATGTTCACAATTAAGCTATAGGTTATTCTGTAGTGACATGAATGAGAAGGCGGGGGTGCATCTTGGCAAACACATGGCAGCGTCCAGGGACAGGATCAGCTGGCTTAAGTGTCTTAGCCCCTGTCCTATTTCTCTAGCCCTTAGATGACCATTTCTTCTTGAAAGAACTATTAATTTCTCTTTGTTCTTGATTTCACTTGATATTTCATTCTAATTAAAATGAATAAATTGATTTTTGATAAACTTATTTGACATTTAAAACATTTTGGTATTTTTGGTACTTAAATTTTGATATTTAAAGAATCTCTTTGCAGAGGTTGACCCTATATTGCAATGATCCTCTTTTTGTTAATCCTGTATCTTCATTTTTCCACATTTTCTCAATTTATCCTCCAGTTTAACTACCTGAAAAAAAACACACTGAAAGTAAACAGCCTGAGCACATAGAGAAACCATGCAAGAACATGCTTTCTTGTTTTAAAACCATCCCTCTCCAGTTCCCTTCGATACTGCTGAAGGCTGCCCTCTCGTGGCTGTGGTGCGCACGCATTTTTAGCTGTGGCACTTGAGAGGGATGGTAGCACCGGTTCTGATGCCTCCACACTCAGCCGCAGTGCTCCCAAGGCTTATTAAATTCCTTTAGTTGTGGTGTCTGTGTGTTTCACTGTGGGTCTTACTTCTTGGCCATGTCACTCACACAGTTTTGTTCAGCTGTGATATTCGCTGGTGGTTACACCCTAAAAATATTCTTCTATACTCACATACATACATCTTTTCTTTTTTGCTCAGGGGTTACTCTCATGCACTCAGGAATTACCCCTGGCGGTGCTCGGGGGACCATATGGGATGCTGGGAATCGAACTCAGGTCGGCCAGGGCTGGCTGCCTGCAAGGCAAACGCCCTACCTGCTGTCTATCACTCCAGCCCCTCACATACATATATCTTTGACAATTTAATTTAAAATGATCGCACAGGCCTTGATTTTGATAGCTTCAGTGTCATTATTTATTCTGTTTGTTTTGCTGCAACATTCAGTGATACTGGGACCCATGCAGTGAAGGGCTCTGGAATATAAAGCATGTTTTTACATTCTTTGAAATGTAAAAAATTACATACTTTTACCAGTTCTTTGAACTATCTCTCAGACCCTTCAATGGCATTTTTGCAAACCTAATGTCAGATTCTTAATTATTATTATTATTATTTTTGCACTTTGCGTCGTACCCAGCCGTGCACAGGGGTTACTCCTGGTGGTGCTCAGGGGACCATATGGGATGCTGGGAATCAAACCCGGGTCAGCCCACGTGCAAGGCAAACGCCCTACCCGCGGTACTACTGCTCCAGCCCCTAATTCTTTGTATATTGTCTGCTCTTTGCATCCTGGAAGATTTCAGTTACCCTTCTCTTTCAGATTTCTGGAATTTTCGTGTATTTTGCCTTTGGTGTGCATTTGTTAAATGTAATATTCCCCCCACCCCTCCTGCCCCCCAGATACATACAATACAGTTTTTCATCTTAAACAGCATATCATTAAGTTTTGGAGTTTCTTGGTACCACTGTCAAATTGCCTTTAAACCATAATTTTTTTTTGTTTTAATACGTATGGTAGTCATCTGTCTGAGGATACTAATTTTTAATTTCTTTTGAAGCTTTGACTTCATCCTAGAGTTTCTTGTTCTTTGGTTTTTGACTGTTTCAGTTTTTCCATTGACCTCTGGCCATTCATTCATACTTAAGTTACTTTACAAAAAGAAAAATCCTCCAAACATACAGTGTAACTGCAGCTAACTGCAGAATCTCAGTCTTCCTCTTTTCTTCAGCCCCTGGCTGTGCATACCAGTCCTCAAATTCACAGTCTCTTTTAATTAAGTCTTTTCGGAAGGTAGATTTCTGGTTTTCAGTTCACCGTTGAGAGGTGAAATTGCTAGATTACTGGTATAAGCAAAGCGGTATTCTTTTTTCTTTTGGTTCTGTTTTGTTTGAGGACAACACCCAGCTGTGCTCCAGGCTTACTCTTGGCTCTGCACTCAGGGATCACTCCAAGTAGGGATTGGGGACCATACTGGGTGCTGGAGGATCAAACCCAGGTTCAGTAATGTGCACGGCAAGCATCTTACCCACTATCCCAGGGAAAGCAGAATTCTAACTGCTTGGACATCAATTTTTGGCTCCAGCTCCACTCATACACATTCTAGTTTGTTTTACTGTACTCAATGCCTGAGCCTTTGCTCTGTACTAAGAACTGGCTCCTTCAAGTTCATTTTATGGCTAACGGCGATCTCTGGTTGGCTACCATGGTTTGCAGTTTCTTAAAATGTTTGCGCTGTCTTCTCTTTCCCTTTACTTTATTCTTGTTTATGGTTTTCGTTGCTGCTGCTGTAGTTGTGTTCTGTCACACCCAGCAATGTTCACAGCTCAGGGGACCCCTGGCAGTGTTCAAGGAACAACACGGGATGCCGTGCATCAAACCTGGGTCAATAACATGCAAAGCAAGCACTCTACCCGCTGCGTTCCGCCAAATGGCGCCGCCAATCGCACTGTTTTCTTCTTTCAACTTTAGGTGTTGGCCTTGAAGCCAGGTCTTATACTTGCATAAGGCTTTGCCAACGAGCGAATCACTTTCTTCGTTTCTGTTTTTGAATCCCTTTATTGTTTCAAAAGGACTTCAAGGAAAAAAGGCAAATTATTCACAAGTTTTATCCAGTAAAAAAGTTGGGACCTGTTTCTAAATAACAAAACTTCCTACTAAATTCTTCTGACTCCCTTCGATTCGGGTACAATTCACTCACCGATTCTGTTTGTTAACGGCCGTGTCTGCACCATTGGGAACCAGCTCCTTCACTTCTGTCGCACCAAAGTTTTCCACTGTGATCTATTAATTTATTTGAAGAAAGTCAATGTCAGACTCAAATTTACTATGTTACTTTAATAACTTATTAAACACTATGTTTATCATTGAATATAAGAATAAGTCTGAGGTTAAATTCTACCATAAACTTAATTGTGAATTTTAATCTGTAACTAGAAATTTTCATTCTACTAATAGCTTTAAATTCTAAATGCTTTCAAATTGATTATAAATTTCCAAGTGTTTCACTAGTTAAGAACAAGAAATATGAATGCTGATTGTACAAAAACTTTACGATGATCGTTATAGTAGTAAAATATTAGAAAGGATATATTTTTAGGCAAAAAATAGAATCCAAGAGTGAGAATGCATTCACCTTAGAGGAATCATGATTTCCATATGACAACTGCTGTTTTTGTATTCCTTGTAATCTGCTTTGTAAATCTGATCCCATTTTTTAATTATGCCATTACTTTGGCTTTAAAAGTTATTTTTATTTTAATCATTAATTATTTTGCGGTTTCAAGTATAAACTCTCTACCACCGAGCCACATCCCTGGCTGGACAATTAGGTATTTTGAAACCATTTCCCTTACTAAGTCTTTCCTGTAAAATTACTATTCCCATCTTTGCATTATTTCTCTCTTCCATAAGAAAAACTTTTTTTTAATAACACTATGATTGAAGTAGGATGAAAAGAGAATTGAATCCCTGCTTTAGAGTTTACTGTCAAATAAAGAGAAATGTTGTAGATGGGTCTTCAAAAACTAGAAACTGAGCTTCCACATGACCCTGCAATACCACTTCTGGGAATATATCCTGAGAGTGTGAAGAGGTACTGTAGAAATGACATCTGCACCTGTATGTTCACTGCAGCAGTGTTCACAATAGCCAGACTCTGGAAACAACCTGAATGCCCGAGAACAGATGACTGGATAAAGAAACTATAGCACATCTACACAATGGAATACTGTTCAGTTGTTAGGAAAGATGAAGTCAGTCATAAAATCTGCTTATGAGTGGATGGACATGGAGAGTATCATGCTAAGTGAAATGAGTCAGAAAGAGAGGGACAGACACAGAATGACTGCACTCATTTGTGGAATATAAAGTAACAGAATGGGAGATGAACACCCAAAGATAACAGAGAAAAGGGCCGGGAGGATCGCTCCACAGCTTGGAAGCCAGCCTCACTTGCTGGGGGAGAAGGCAACTGGAATAGAGAAGGGATCACTAAGACAATGATGGCTGGAGGAATCATTCGGGATGGGAGATGTGTGCTGGAAGAAGATAAAGGAACCAACACGATAACCGTTCAGTTATACAGATATACAGATTTTGCAAACCATAATGCCGAAAAGTAGAGAGAGTGAGTATGGGGTAAATTGTCTGTAATGGAGGTGGGGGGAGTGCTGGAAAGGGAGGGGTATATACTGGGACACTGGTGGTGGAGGATGTGCACTGGTGGAGGGATGAGTTTTTGATCATTGTGTGACTGAAACTCAAACACGAAAGCTTTGTAAATTATTTCATGGTGATTCAATTAAACAAAAAAAAGAGAGAAATGTTGTATGTAAAGAACTTATTACACTAAAATAATGCAATAGACATAAACAAAATCAGACCAAAGAGGAAAAAAATTACTTCTAATTGGAGGAAGTATAGAAGACCTTGAAGAAAATCAGATGAAAATCACCTGAAAGAATGAGTAGGGATTTGAAAAATTAAAAAGGGTAAGACCTCTGAGCATACAGAGAGAACTAAAGAACAGATAATAAAAAAGAAACAAAAACCCAAAAACTGTGATCCTAAGAAACCATTAAGGCTACTAAATGACATGACAAAATCTAGTGTGAAAAGACAGAATGAAGTGGGAAAGAGAGTTCACAGATGGTTTTGAAGCTTATTCTAAGACTATTATTCCGTAAGCAATAAAAAGTTACTGAAAATTTCTAGTCAACAAATGGTACTTAGCAGGCTAGAGGGATACTGCAGTGGGTAAGGCGTTTGCCTTGAGCAGGCTGACTTGAATTGAATCCCCAGCATCCCGTATGGTCTGCTGAGCACTACCAAGACCAGTTTCTAAGTACAGAGCCAGGAGCAATCCCTGAGCATTGCCGGGTGTGGCCCCAAATTTTAAAAGGTACTGAGAAGAAGGGCGGACCCAGGTTCAATTCCTCCGCCCCTCTTGGAGAGCCTGGCAAGCTACTGAGAGTGTCTCGCCTGCAAAGCCTGGCAAGCTACTCCAGACATATTCATATGCTAAACACAGTAACAAGTCTCACAATGAAGACGTTACTGGGCCCGCTCGAGCAAATCGATGAACAACGGGAGGACAGTGCTACAGTGCTACTGAGAAGAAACGCTTGAATCAGTATAGATTTTGAGGATGTTAGTAGATGGTAATAAATCTGATAACTGATAACAGTTGAAACAGACTGAAATGGTTTGAAATTGAAATGATAAATGAAGACTTAAAGATATGAGGCCTGGTGTGCAAACAGCAGCCTCCCTAGTAGAATTGATAGCATTTTACTTGTATAGGTGTCCCCCAGGGACCTTGGAGAAAGCCCCTTGCGGTGGTGAACATTCCTGACTGTCCTTAGACTGTCCCAAATGAAGGGTATTCAGGGTCCCTTTGGAAAGACCCAGACTGGACATAGTGATCAGATCCACACTGGTCAAGTCACCATGTCCATTCATCCAAGTAATGGAACAAGGAGCATGTGACTGAGATTCTATGTAGGGCCAAATCCAAATTCGATACCAGAATATACAATTTCTAAGAAATTTAATATGGATGAAGACACAGTAGTTGAAAAGTTGCTTAATCCAGATGATTCTGGGTTCAAATACACTCCTAATCATGGATCCCTGGACAAATGGTGTGCCCTACACTCAAGAGAGCCTCAAAGAAACTCACTGTTCAGTCACCTGACTCATAAAATCTAGTTCCTCTGCAAAACCACAATAAAAATGATAACTAATATGCATAAAAGTCAACAGAAAAGGAAAACGGAAATTCCATAGCAAGAAGAAATAGTCCAACTGTAAAATCAATTTTTCTCATTTTAAATCTACCATTTGTTTTGTTGGCATGGGCGTCCGAAGATGGCGATTTCCACTAAATTTCTCTGTTTCATGGACACTACTTCCACTACCCAGCCGTCGCCACACTCCAGGACGCTTTCCGGACCCGCGCGGCAGCTCCGGCCGAGACCCACGCACAACTGAAGACCCACAGAACAAGGTAAGCGGAACTCTCTGAGACCTTGGACTCCAGGCTCGGCAGACCCAGGGACAGAGCTTCTCTGCTTGCTCCCACCACCACAGGTGACAAAGGGATTCTAATTAGGAGCCCCACCCTACCCTGCCCTGTCTGCTTCCATCAACCACCCAGGGATCGAATTGTGCACAGGAGACCCACCCTACCCAGATAAATATCCCACTGGCAGACTTCCACTCTCGACACTACTTCCACTACCCAGCCGTCGCCACACTCCAGGACGCTTTCCGGACCCGTGCGGCCACGACACATCATAAGACACTAAATACCCATCTTCCGGAATTGTCGTACCATATTTGATAGGGTTCAAATATGGTAACACCTACAAGGGTGATTAGAGGTCACCCCAAAAGCCTCTATACCTCTCGGAAAGACTGGCAAGCTACCGAGGGTATTCCGCCCGCACGGAAGAGCCTGGCAAGCTATCCGCTGTGTATTCGATATGCCAAAACCAGTAACTACAACTGGTCTCATTCACCTGACCCGGAAGGCTTCACCGACATGGCAGCACTGAGAAGGACGAGAAAGGAGAGGCCGACAAAATCTCAAGGCCGACCTAGGCTGCCACAACGAAGGAAGACAAAAATGATCGTCTGTACTTTCAATGCACGTACGCTAGTATCAGATGCATCCATCGAGGACCTGATGGTACAAGCGCGAATGATCAAGTACGACATCATTGGTCTGACCGAGACAAGAAGACACGAATCTCACCATGCCGTTTTCGACACTGGAGAAGAACTGTTCCTCGGAACATGCGATAAAAGAGGTGTTGGAGGCGTCGGTGTCCTTGTCAACACAAACTTAGCCAAGAGCATTGATTCATTTGAATGCCTAACAACCCGAATCGGACGTTTACATTTGAATAGATGTGGCTCACTGCCTGCAGTTTCTATCTTCGTTGTCTACGCACCAACATCTCATTATGATGAAAGAGAAATCGAGAAGTTCTACATGGAGCTAGAGAAGTTCTATAAAGAAGACCACACCTTCTACAAGATCATTGTGGGTGATTTTAATGCCAAGATAGGACCGAGAAGATCAGCTGAAGAACTTCACATCGGAACCCATGGCCTAGAATGGAACGAACAGGGTGAGAGACTGTCTGAGTTCATCATGTCGACCAAGACCATTCATGGTAACTCACAGTTCCAGAAGGCAGAATCTAAACGATGGACATGGGAGTCTCCCGGTGGACGATTCCACAACGAAATAGACCACATCATATTCAATCGACGGTTTTGCCTGACTGATGTCGCTGTTGTCCCAAAATTTCGAACGGGATCGGACCACCGTCTCCTTCGTGCAAAATTCTACTTCACAGAGCGGGGAGAAAGGGCTGCAAAGTTCAAAAAGAGAACTCCCAGAACGACCACCAACTGGGAACTCTTTGGTACTATTGCGGCAACATGGGAAGATGCCATTGTTGACAACATTGACGAGGAATACGATCGACTGGTTCAGCACCTCCATGAATGTGCGAGGAACGCCAAGAGAGAGATAGCCACAAAAAGTCGCCTATCTTCGAAAACTCTTGAGCTAATTCGCCAGCGTGGTTTGGCGCATGCCTCAGGCAACCGCAAGCTAACGTCCGAGCTTGCAAAGCAGTGCAGAGATGCGATCAAGGAAGACCTCAAAGAGAGAAGAGCAGAAGTACTGGTAGATGCGGCAGAAGCTGGGAAAAGTATTCATAACGCCCGCCTGTCCTTCGCCAACTATAAGACCAAGATGACTGCCCTCCGACGTCCTGATGGATCCATCACATCCTCCAGAACGGCAATGGAGAAGATTATCCATGACTTCTACTCAAATCTCTTCGATAGCCATGTCCACTTGCCGACATACCAAATTCCACAGGATGGGTATGTCGTTCCCAACGTTCTCCCTTCCGAAATCCGACACGCCATTTCGTCAGTAAAGAAGCAAACAGCACCCGGCCCAGACAAGGTCAGACCTGAACACCTGAAGAACCTGCCGTCAGTACTCATCAATACACTGGCTCGGCTCTTCACTCGCTACCTGTCTGAATGCAAGGTTCCATCTCAATGGAAAACCAGCAGGACCGTACTACTGTTCAAGAAGGGAGACATCCATGACATTGGCAACTATCGCCCGATCTGCCTATTGTCTGTCATCTACAAGTTGTTCACTCGAGTCATCCTGAATAGGATTGGCAGAACACTAGATGAAGGACAACCATGTGAGCAAGCAGGGTTCCGCAAAGGATTCAGCACCATCGACCATATCCACACGATAACCAAGCTCATTGAGGTTTCTCGGGAGTTCAAGATGCCGCTCTGCTTAACGTTCATTGATTTAAAGAAGGCCTTTGATTCTGTTGAGACGGAAGCGGTCATTGAAGCCCTAGCCAATCAGGGCATTCAAGCCCAATACATCAGGATCCTCCGTGAGCTGTATTGCGGATTCACTACCAGGATCTCACCATTCTACAAAGAAGTGATCGTTGATGTCAAGAGAGGGGTGCGGCAGGGTGATACCATTTCACCGAAACTCTTCAGTGCCACCCTCGAGAACATCATGCGACGACTGGAATGGGAAGGAATGGGAGTGAAGATAGATGGCCGGCAACTACACCACCTCCGCTTTGCTGATGACATTGTTTTAATAACACCAAACATCAGCCAAGCGGCACAAATGCTGGCCGACTTTGACTGTGAGTGTGGAAAGGTAGGACTACAGCTGAATCTTACGAAGACAATGTTTATGAGAAACAGCCTAGTTCCTGACGCCCCATTCGCTCTCAATGGAACGACCATCTCCGAATGCAACAGCTATGTGTACCTAGGTCGAGAGGTCAACATGACAAATGACCTGGCACCTGAGCTGCGCAGGAGGAAGAGAGCGGCTTGGAACGCCTTCAAGAACATCGAAGAAATAGCTAAGAGGACGAAGAACCTCCGGCTCCGGGCACATCTCTTTGATTCCACTGTTCTTCCTGCATTAACATATGCCTCAGAGACCTGGGCCCTACGCAAACAAGATGAGAACGCCATTCAGGTCTCCCAAAGAAGAATAGAAAGAGCTATGCTTGGAATATCACGTTTCACTCAAATGAGAGAACGAATCCGGAGTTCTGACATCCGTCGACGATCAAGGATCAGGGACGCTGTCTCATATGCCAAGGTGTCGAAAATCAGATGGGCTGGTCACGTAATGAGATTTAAAGACGACCGTTGGACTAGAGCTGTTACTGATTGGATTCCACGGGATGTCAAGAGACCGCGTGGCCGCCCACCTACCAGATGGTCAGACTTCTTTGTCAAGGTCATGAACGATCGGTTTGAGGCCCTCCATGTTCCCGGAGTGAAGAGATGCCATTGGGCTACACTAGCACGCGACAGGGACAAATGGAGACGTTACTGGCGCCCGCTCGAGCAAATCGACGACTAACGGGAAGTTAAGTGATTAAGTGATAAGTGAAATCTACCATATTTTTCTTAATATAGCAGAGCATGGGGTCATCTGGTAGAGCACATAAATCGCTTGTTTGAGGCATCAACACGTGCAGCCCTGATGTCCCCAAACCCTACTAAGTGTGGACCTATTAAAAAAAAATTGAATCATATACCACTTCTTTTACTTCACATATTTTGAGCCATTTCTGCTACTCTATTTAAAATGCCAATTCTTGAAAAAAAATTGTTTGAAAAAGAATAGCAGAATCTTTTGCTTATATTGACCACAGGATTATAAAAAGGAATGAGGTGGAACATAAACAAATGTACAAAAGTTTAAAAAAAATAAAACAGAATGTCTTACCATTTTCCCAAGAATCTAATTTATAATATTCAGGTTATATACTTGTGAAGTAATTTAGAATCATTGCTAATTTTTCCTTCTTCAATTGTACACTTGTGCCTGATGATTCTCATTTGCCAGTGGATTTTTCAAGTTACTAGTTATTCAGGATCTCTTTCAATGAATTAACAAAATTATCCACCTTCCACTTTTAATTCTGCAGGTCTAAGAATCAAATCCAGAGCCTCATTCACGTGAGGCATGCTGTCTACTGAGTTATACCCTTGGCACCCAAATTCTGTTATCCTTTGAAAGATATGCAATTTAATTTTTTAAATAACCTTCTGATGTACTGTTTATACTGTGATAGCATTTGTAATGTGGCATTTGACCCAAAAATAAGACAAAATAAACATAGATGAATGAAACAAAAAAGGATGAATGAGTGAAATCAACTTTTTAAATTTGTCTTGGGGCCACACTGGGAGTGCTCAAGGCTTAATGTTGGCTCTGTATTCAGGAATTACTTCTGGCAGTGCTAAGGGGAACTTACATGGTACTGCTACGGGGGATCAAACCCAGGTCTGCTGTGTGCAAGGCAAGTGCCCTACACACTGCACTATTTATTTAGCCTGGGAATTAACTTTTGAAGTGGTTAGTGAATATTTTTATGTTATAATAACCGTTTTTGCTTTTTTTTTTTTATTAGTGAAACACCATGAGGTACAGTTATAGACTTACAAATTTTTGTGCTTGGGTTTCAGTTATACAATGATCAAGTACCCATCCCTCCACCAGCGCCCATCCTCCACCACCACGGGTCCCAGCATCCCGCCCACCCCCCATCCCCCCATCCCACCCTGCCTCTGTGGCAGGGCATTCCCCTCTGTTCTCTCTCTCTCCTTTCGGGTTCTGTGGTTTGCAAGAGAGGCATTGAGTGGCAATCATGTTTGGTCTATAGTCTACTTTCAGCATGCTTCTCCCATCCTGGGAGGATCCTCCCAACACCCTTTATTTGGTGCTCCCTTCTCTGAGCTGCGTTTTCCCCTAGCACGTGTGGTTGGCCTCCAAGTCATGGAGCAAAATTCCTGGTACTAGTCTTGGTCACTCAAATGGGACTATCTTAAACTAAGAAATTTCTGCACCTCAAAAGAAACAGTGACCAAAATACAAAGACAGTCTACAGAATGGGAAAGGATATTCGCCTTTCGTATACACATATTTGTATACACATCCGACAAGGGGTTGATATCAAGGATATACAAGGTACTGGTTGAACTCCACAAGAAGAAAACACCCAACCCCATCAAAAAAATGGGGCGACGAAATGAACAGAAACTTTCTCAAAGAAGAAATCCGAATGGCTAAAAGGCACATGAAAAAGTGCTCTACATCATTAATCATCAGGGAGATGCAGATCAAAACAACAACGAGATATCATCTCACACCACAGAGACTGGCCCACATCCAAAAGACCAAAAGCAACCAGTATTGGCGTGGATGTGGAGAGAAAGGGACCCTCCTTCACTGCTGGTGGGAATGCCGAATGGTTCAGCCCTTTTGGAAAACAGTATGGATGATTCTCAAAAAATTAGAAATTGAGCTCCCATTTGACCTAGCAATACCACTCCTGGGAATATATCCCAGAGAGGCAAAAAAGTATAGTCGAAGTGACATCTGCACTTCTTTGTTCATTGCAGCACTCTTTACAATAGCCAGAATCTGGAAAAAACCTGTGTGCCCGAGAACAGATGACTGGTTAAAGAAACTTTGGTACATCTACACAATGGAGTACTATGTAGCTGTCAGAAAATATGAAGTCATGAAATTTACATACAAGTGGTACTACATGGAAAGTATCACGTTAAGTGAAATGAGTCAGAAAGAGCGGGACAGACACAGAAAGATTGCATTCATCTGGGGAACATAAAGCAACATAATGGGAGACTAACACTGTTTTTGCTTTCTTAAACATTCCTGTAATTATAGACTTAAAAAAAGCACAAACAAACCCTGTACTTCAAAAACGTGTACCACGAGCCACCTTCTCCCCCATGGGGATGGGACGCGCCAAGGGGAAGGCAGCAAAGTGGGAAGGTAGCGTTTCACCCCCAAACAGCACATTGGGACCCGGACAGGGGCTTTCAGTGACAGGTACAGCATGCATCCTTTATTTTATTTTTTTGATGCAAAAAAAAAAGTATACCCATGTAGTTATAAAGAAAGCAAGATAAAGCACACAGATTTTGATGTAATTAAACACTATCTTGACGTGTAATGAGTTTAGTTTGCTTTTTGGGTCACACCCGGCGATGCTCAGGGGTTACTCCTGGCTCTGCACTCAGGAATTACTCCTGGCAGTGCTCAGGGGACCATATGGAATGCTGGGAATCGAACCCAGGTTGGCTGTGTACAAGGCAAACGCCCTACCCGCTGTACTATAGCTCCAGCCCGTTTTTGATTGTAATTCAGTTTTTTATCTATAAATGAAGTTTAGCAATACCAATCTCATAGGGCTGTTACAAGGACTAAATAAAGTAACGTATGCACTGTGACTAGCATATAGTAAATGCTCAAAATGTCAAAGGGCTTATGACTTTTGCCCATGAAGATAAAACTCATAAATACAGTCATTAAATAAAATGAATGAGCGTATCAGGCTAGTCTATGTCTTTTCATCTTACCGTAAAATTAAGACAAAATGTTTCCTCTATATCATCTTCTGGATAATCTAGTAACTGCTGCAAGCTTCTGCAAAACAATATAGATACACATATTTATAGATAGAAATAAATTCTTCTAAAGCAAAACATTATCAAGTAGGCTTGACTAGTTTATGAACAAATATACACTTTTCATTCATGATAAAAATCTCTTATTAATTTGTACTTTCATATTTGTTTCAGAATGGTCAATGTACACTGTTCAATTTATAATGTTAAGAAAAAGAAATTCACTAAAGTTTCTCTCTTTTCCTCTAACTATAAAAGCCATGCATCCAACCACTTTTAACACTGTCCTTATACAGAATTTATATTACATTTTATGTAACAAAAACAAATCTTACATATCCCAACCAAGCAATAAATTGTTCAAAAGTAAGTCTAGGGGGCTGGAGCTATAGTACACCGGGTAGGGCATTTGCCTTGCACATGGCTGACCGGGTTCGATTCCCAGCATCTCATATGGTCCCCTGAGCACTGCCAGGAGTAATTCCTGAGCGCAAAGCCAGGAGTAACCCCTGTGCATCACCGGGTGTGACCCAAAAAGCAGGAGGAAAAAAAAAAAGTAAAAGTCTAAAAAAATTACTCACAGGAAACATTACCTTCTTAATATTATTTTATATTTGCAACATTCATTAAATCATTAAATATTTAGAAAATTAGCAAATTATTTTTACATAGGTAAAACTTACACTAGAAAATTTTGGATCTGAGAAACAATTAATTTTCCTGTATAAGAAGGTTCTCTGTATATAACCAAAGACAATTATTCCTAAGTAGAAACTTTTAGGGCCTGAGGGATAGCACAGCGGGTAGGGTGCTTGCCCTGTAGGCATTTGCCTTGCACACAGCCAACCCGGATTCAACTGGCACCCTATGTGGTCCCCCAAGCACGGCCAGGAGTGATTCCTGAGCACAGAGCCATAGTAACACCTAAGCATCATTGGGTGTGGCTAAACAAAAAACAAAAAAATTTTTTAAAAACTTTTAAAAAGAAACTTTTAGTAAAACCCCCATTTCCCAAACCCCATGATTGCCACTTTTTTCAACTAACCTCCCAATATCAGGCACTAGTTCTTTCAAGTCATCCAGGGATGGCTTCTTTTTCAGCAATTTTTTATATAACGCCAAAGGAAAGTGAAGGTCCACGATAGTAAAGTTATAAATTGCTAACCCACAGATAACACCAATTAGATGGAACAAATCACTGTCTTCAAATGTCTAGAAATATAAAGAAAATAAAGGTTTGTTCTCCATGTTAAAACAATTAACTATCTTTTTTAATTATAAAAGTTAGTGATCTCTTATGAGAAGGACTTAGTGTCCTCTGGGTGAAAAACAGCAATCTCCACACTTTTTCCTCCAAGGAAACTTTTTAATAGCATTTTTAGCAGTTTTTCATAACAAACAATACAAAATAAATTATTTCGGTTCTGTTTTGAGGTAGGTGTTAAGGTTCAGGCTGGAAACATCTGAAATATGGTAGTGGGATTGGTGTTTGAATATTCAATGTATCAAATATTATGAACTACAAAAAACATTTTAAAAAAGCACATACTTTATAGAAGAAAATTTATTAGACACAAAATAAGAAGAAAAAAGTTCATTGCTCCTACCCATTATATTAACAAATAAAATGATTACTGAAACTCAAAATTTGGGAAACAAAGTAAAAGCACAGAAAAAAGTATGCTTTTAAAAAGTGTGTGTGGTGACAAGGATTGAACCTAAGACCCTTTTATTAAAAAAAAAATTGTTGAATGATGATGAGCACTAGCAAAGGATAGCTTAACTTCTCTAGGAATGAATGCATAAAGTTTTTAGAAACAATAATAGGCATTTCAAACAAAGTTCTAATACTAAATAATAAAAGTATTAGTAAAATGTATTTACTATCTGTCCCCACACAGAAAAACTGTTCCTATACAGAAAAAATTGCTATAAAAGGACTGATGGCAAATACTGTAAGCTTGCTGGTCCTAAGAGTCTCGAGTTTAAATACCAAACTTTGCCTATGCCATTTGCAACCAGAATGTAATCAAAGACAAAAGGTAAATCAGTGCGCATGACTTCATTTACAAAGACGTATCAGAAAAAACTTAGCTCATGGACAATACTTTACAGAGTAGTTAACCCTGCCATAAATGATTAGGAAAAGATATCAATAATCCTTAGTGAAAAATAAAAAATTATTCCCAGAAGAAAAACTAAGCTAGTAATTATTGTTCAACTTCCAAACCAAAATCAAAATAAAGAACATCATCCTCAGGCTGCTAATAATTTTGCTTGGCTCAACTGAAGAATGGGGTGAGCATTAAGCGTTATAATGACTAAGTCTAAAAGTCTGTAATTGTTAGGTTTCAACAAAACAGGTGTCTGTATAAAATGTTAAGAATACTCTTTTACTGAGCTAACTTAATATATATGGTGTAAATATAACAGCATTAATAGAAGCAACTTAGATGATTGGACTTTTTACCTTATCAGAAAACCAAATGAGCCTGGAATCTTCATAATACCTAAACATGCCATATTTAGGATCTAGTAATTCCCTCATGATGAGCAAGAAAAATTCTTTGCGCACTCCTCCTGCATCAACAGCATCTTCTCCAACAAATATAACCTAAAAGTAGCATAATACAAACACTGAACGTAAAGGAAAGTATAGTCTGCAGACCCAATGCTGTTTATTACAAATAAGTGCTAAGCCACAAAAAGGATTTAATTTTACTTAGTTCCAAAGACATACTTCACAAACAAGGAAACTTCAAATGTCCTAACTACACAGAGAAAATGTAAAATTACCTTGAGAGGCTTTTTGTAGTCTATATTCTTGGTTTTCCTAAGGACTTCCATTGCGTCCCCTACAATATTCTCTCTACGCACTACTAGAATCAGGCAGGGATTCACAGATTCAATCACTGGGAGAAAAAGAGAGGAGACATTCTGTCTGTGGGCCTGGTCAATAGCCATCTAGAAAACAAAAGGTTAAAACTTTGATAGTAATGCTGTACAGACAGTATCATGGATAAGCTAACCTTTACCTACTACACTCTAATTCCTGTATCACCAAATTCATATAAGAGCTTAATAACTATATTCCAAACATAAAAATAATCTTTGATGAAGCATACATCAAAACCACTAAAATCAACATTAAAGCAAGCATGGAACCAAAACTACAATAATTAAACCTAAAAATGTATTTGTTAAGGAGATGGGCTATGGAGTGGGAGTAAACCTGGGGAAACGGATGGGAGGACTCTTGACAGTTGTGGTGAGATTGGAGTTGAAACATTAAATGCCCAAAACTGTCATTATTAACCGTTTTTTACATCGCAGTGCCTAAATTGAATACATATTACAATTTTGAATTTGTACTATTTGTATTATTTGTATTCAATTTTGAACATATAACAGCATTAAACAGGAAATGGAAAAATACTGCTTAATCCAAGCACTATTATTTCCCTTCTACCACTCCCTCTCTCTTTCCCTCCCCCCCACCCAGAGGTGCTCAGCACTTACTCCTGGCTCTGCATTCAGGGACCACTTCTGGTGGTGCCCTGGGAACCATAGAGGGTGCGAGGGAGCAAACCTGGGCCAGCCATATGCAAGGCAAACATCCTACCTGTTGAACTCTATTGCCCCAGCACTTGATTTTTTTTCTCAAAAAAAAAAAAATATTAAAGGGGACTGGAGTGATATAACACAGCACGTAGGGTTTTTGCCTTGCACACAGCCGACCTGGGTTTGATTCCCTGCATCCCATATGATCCCCTGAGCACCGCCAGGAGTAGTTCCTCACTGCAGAGCTTGGAGTAACCCCTGTGCATTGCCGGATGTGACCCAAAAAGAAAAAAAAATTCAAGAAAAAGAAAAATGAATTAAACAAACGTGTCTACAGAGAATAACAGCCCAGCTAGGAAGGTACAACAGAAATTCACCTGATAGAAGGGCCACCATAAGCACTACTCACAGACCAAGCACTTGGCTTTTACCAGGTAAAGACTTTGTTCTTTTCATATAATTTTTTTGATTTTATTCTAAAACGAAATATCCTTAATTAAAAGCATAAGGTTATGGGATGGAGGGGTAGTACAGTGGGCAGGAAGCCTGCCCTGGTTTGATCCGAGCATCCCATATGGCCCCCCAAGCACCACCACTAGTGATCTCTGAGCACAGTCAAGAAAAAATAAGTCCTGAGCACTGGGTTGTGGCTCCAGAACAACAGAAAAATAAAATGAAAGCACGTGGTCACAAACACTATTTTAACAAAGACTGCCCCCCCCCCCAAATTTAACACCTGTTGACCAGCTCTTAGTATAGAACCCTACAAAGGCATAAAGATTCTCCAAGCTCTCTAATTAGAGACCAATTTAAAATATTTTTTAAAACATCACAGAAAAAATTCAACAAATCAGAGTAATATAAATATTACCTGCATTTGTAAGACTGCGTCTGTTTGTAACAGGGTAGTTTTTGCTTGGGCATCAAATACAAATGGATATGTGCAAATTGTAACAGGGACATCTGCCAACTAGAAATTAAAAGTAACATATTAATACATACTGATTTGCAATTTTTTTCTTGTACATTTCTTTCACGGTTGATCACTTTTTTGTTTACTCACTTGCGTTGCTCAGGTATTACGAATTAAAAATTTTTATTCATAAGTAATATTTACTAATAATTAAGATGAATCATGGTCCTCCCGTTGTTCATCGATTTGCTCGAGCGGGCCCAGTAACGTCTCCATCGTGAGACTTGTTGTTCTGTGTTTGGCATATCGAATACGTCACGGCGAGCTTGCCAGGCTCTGCCGTAAGATGAAGTACTGACATAATTTCAACTTCCAATTTTAGCAGGGAACTGTTTACTAAAAATCCAGAAAATATAATTACAAGTATCTTATGCTTACTATAGTAACTCTCAGTTTCAGTGAATTAGGTTAGAAATTTATTCTAAAACTGGTTGCCTCTCTATTACAAACACAACTAACTTCTGACAGGTCATGGCTATGGAGATCAATGATAAGCATTCTGCTTATCCACTTAGTTCACAGACATTACTGCCCACCATAAGGGTGCCAACATTATGACAAGCTTAACCTGTTCATTCATACAAATTAAGCAACATGTTATTCTGGTGACCACTGGAGTTAGAAATATTATGATTATCAGACTTTAGTCACCTTACAAATATTTATCTTAGTAGGTAAAGCAGTGGATTTTAATGGATTTTAACAGTGAAGAATACTAAGTGCTATGTATTTTCAGTCTCAGATACTTGCAGTTAGTTGAGGGACATATTCCTACTATCTACACAACATAAAAATTTTTGTGCCAGTCCTAACAGAGAACCCTTGGACATCTCCCAGGGACGACTTAATATAATGAAACAGCATTCTCCCCTGCCAACCCAGTATCGGGGATCAAACTGAGGGTCCCCACAAGCAATGTAAGCACTACATCCCAGAGGTTAGGGATGGGGTGGGGGAAGTGCCCAATTCTTTTTAAAGCACTTAGGAGGGGCTGGAGCGATAGCACAGTGGGTAGGGCGTTTGCCTTGCAAATGGCTGACCTGGGTTCGATTCCCAGCATCCCATATGGTCCCCTGAGCACCGCCAGGAGTAATTCCTGAGCAACACTGGGTGTGACCCAGAAAGCAAAATACACACACACACACACACACACACACACACACACACAAACAAAAACAAAACAAAACAAAAACCCCAAAAATTACAAAGCAAAACAAAAAAACCCCAAAAATAATAATAATAAAGCACTTAGGAAGTTCTCTAAATCTGTATTTCCAGTTGGCATGTTCTGTATTTGTCTTAATTTTACCCTGCAGAAGAGTGTAAATTCTTTAAAACTTTTCAAGTCCCCATGTTCTCTCTCCCTAAGTTTTTTCCCTTACTCTAAACACTCCATTTTCTCCAGCCATTGACAAAGTAATAGTCACTAGCTTTTTCTCCGCTTAACTGCTTCCTCTTAAATGTTTTTCAATTTGTCTAAATTTCTTTTTAACGAAAACCAGTAAAACCAAACAAAATAACCCAATAGTGCTAATCAGTGAAGAAGACAATGATTCTTCAGCCAATGAATTCAACCATGTTGAATTCTTTGCCTCAAGGGGCCCAGGATACAGGCTCCTTGGTAATGTCTGCAGGTTGCTGCTTGGATAGGTTGCACTAAGGGTCTCCGAGACAGCCCTTGTGGTAGACATATTTCTAACTACTCCTGTGCTGTACCAAGTCTTAGGTTCTGGACAGATATTCAGGCTCCTTTTTCTTTCTCTTTCTTTCTCTTTCTCTTTCCTCCCCCCTTCCTCTAATCATATTTCCCTGGATATATGGCAGGTCTTGCATTCCTGAGAGCCTCTGAGCTTCTCCATAAGTCCCTATTGTGACCTCCAATAAATCTTGCTTCCTAATCAAAAAAACAAAACAAACAAAAAAAAGAGAGAACATACAATAAAACAATCAGCTTTTTGTTCTTACATATACGGTAACAAGCTATACTCTATTTCAACTTAGAGTAAATTATTTTCACTAGAAAATTTTTACCCTCATCCTGTATTTGATGGACGGTAGAAAGTCATTTCACTACTCAAACTCAAAAGTATTATTTTTAAACTAATGTGCCTAAAACATTGTAATTTCATACCACTATGAGCTGATACTATTTGAGGATGAGGAAACAATATTAAACTATAATTTAATATTAACTCTAAATGCTTCACTTGTTAAATCTAAGAATAAAAGCAACAAAGTCTGAAGTCTACAACAAACGAAAGAAGGTGGTTTAGTTAAGTCAACATGTTAGAATTATATGCATTAAGCAGTACAAGAGACCACGTGAGGAAGATCATACAAAAATGTTTAATGTTATGATTACTGCAAATACAAATTATTATTTTAATATATTTTTAAAACTTTAAATACTAAGGCAAACTTTATACTTTCAAATATAAAGTAGTTTCTGCTTTACTGAGTAGACATTTTTGGACTTTAAAGTTTAGTGAGGATTTACTAAAGTTTATACTCAAGGTTTTAGGAGGATAAAGAACTATTTTAAAGCAAATATGCTGAAAGTCATCATATAATGTTAACTTAAACAGGTTGTGTAAACTTCAGAAACTGTCTCGAACTAATACACCAGAAAATTTCTATTTACTCATCTCAAAAATCACACACTTCACTTATCACACAAAAGAGGAACACCTTTGGCTCTTATCACTTAAAAAAAATGAAGCATAACTGACTCTGAATACAAGATTTTATACCAAACTTACCTCAGTTAATCCATGGTTGACATCCTAAGACAGCAATGCAGAACGTAATAACGAGGAAAGAGCAACGTTAGTTCCAAAGTTAAGTTTCTATTCAATTTGCATCTCGTATCTTTTTGCTAGAGCACATTAAATAAATGAGGCAGACCAAAGTGCGAGATCTACACTAAAACTTACCCTTTCTACATGCACCTTTTATGGAACTTCTGTTTTTTTTTTGGCGGGGGTGGGTATTACTCCCAGTTCAATGTTCCTGGAGGTGCTTGGGGGATTCTGCAATGCTAAAGATGCAGCCCGGGCCTACTATACACGCAAAGCCCTGGTCCAGACCTTTATTTCAAGCGCCCTGCAGTAAGATTATTGGAGGCTCGAACACAAAGGGAACTGGTTCCAGCAACTAAGCACCTCATTTGCATGATGAGAAAAGGGAGACTAATCATAGAACTAACTCATTTTTGAAAGAAGTATCTCTGGGGGCACGCCAAACGGTGCCTGAGGAGCCACCCCCAGTGATGACTGAGGGATCATGCAGTGCCAGGGACAGGCAGCGTTCCGACATACGCGCACGCACCTCAGCCCTTAACACAGCTCAGGTTTCCTTGCGTGGAAAATGAAAATATTCCCCCAACTTTGAAACTTTAGACATTTAGGATTTTTTTTAAATTTTTTTTTAGGATTTTATTTTTTTGTTGTTTTGATCAGGAGAGCTCGGGGTTTTATTTTGCTCTGGTTTCCTCCACCCCCTTTGGTTTTTGTGCCACACCCAGTGGTTCTCAGGGCTTACTGCTGGCTCTGTGCTCAGGGATCACTGGTGGTGGGCTTAGAGACCATACACTGTGCTTGGGTTCAAACAAGTGGGGTCAGCCACATGCAGGTACCTTTCCCCCAGGACTATCTCTACAGCCTGTGCTGTTTTTGTTTGGGGGGCCGAATCAGCAATGCTCAGAAGTTACTCCTGACTGCACTCAGGAATCCCTCCTCGTGGGCATATGGGACAACATAAGGTGTCAACGGAATCCGGGATGACTGTGTGCAAGGCAAATGCCCAACCTGCTGTATTCTGGCTCCAGCCACCCCCCAAAATATAAAAAATAATGGACATGTGAAAAACCTGAAGGAAAAAAAGACACTAGATATGAAGCAAAAAAAATTTATATATATATATATATATTTTTTGGGGGTCCACCTGGCGATGCACAGGGGTTACTCTTGGTTCATGCACTCAGGAATTACCCCTGGCGGTGCTCAGGGGACCATATGGGATGCTGGGAATTGAACTCGGGTCGGCCTCCTGCAAGGCAAAAACGCCCTACCCGCTGTGCTATTGCTCCAGCCCCCAAAAATATTTTTAACTCGAAGATGTATTACAGGGAAAACCAGATTATGATTATTACTAGGCATTTCAATTTAAAGGTTAATAATCTTAGGCATTTAGAAGCTGAAACATTTAGAGCCTTGATATTGCTCAGAGGTAGAGCATTTGCTTTGCACATGTGAGGCCCAAGGTTTAATCACCAACTCCAAACACGCAAAAAAGCTCAAACATTTGAAAAATATATAGTTGTTTTTATAAAAAGCAAGGATAAATTTATGTGGGCAATATTGGAGTTGAAAGTTGTTCTATTAGCTGCGGTCGAATTAAGAAATATTTCCAAAAAGTGGCCTGTGAGATAGTACAGCAGGGTAGTGCGCTTGCCTTCACATGGCAACGTGGATTTGATTCTCTGCATCCCAGAGAGTTCCCTGATCTCTGCCATAGTAATACCAGGAGTAAGAGTGCAGAGCCAGAACTAAGTCCTGAATGTCACCAGTTGTGGCCCTCAAACAAACAAAAAGAGTTTTAGAAAACTCACAAAACCAAAAAACTATTTCTAAGGAAAATTTTAAGTGGTAGTACAGAGGGTAGGGTGTTAGTCTTACACACAGTCGAACTGGGCTTGATCCTGGCACCCCAAATGGTCCGCCATGCACCACCCAGGACTGATCCCTGAGTACAGAGACAGCATTAAGCCTTGAACACCCCCCAGCTCCCCCACCCCCAGTGGTGTAGGGCATTAGGAAAATATTAAATGAAACATGCAATGTCAATTGAAAGTCTACTACTAAAAATTTAACATATTTTTCAATGTGTATGACCTATGACTGCCTCCATATCCACATACTCTAGTACCTTTGACTGTTTTTAGACTGAGGGCCCTTAGAACTAGGTCATACCTAATTTTGTACACACAATGCCCTAGAAGCGGAAGTGAGAAAGGCCTGAAAAAGTTCAAAAGTCAGAGTCTCATGGTACAAATCAGACTTCACTGATTATTTAGACATATTTTTTTAAATAACTGTATGTTCTACCAAAGGATATTTTAAACTTTTACAACGCAGCAATAACATTATTTTAAGGTTATATATGTTTTTAGATTTGTATTGAGGGGCTGGAGCAATAAACAGCACAGTGGGAAGGGCGTTTGCCATGCACATGGCCAACCCGGGTTCGATTCCCAGCATCCCATTTGGTCCCCGGAGTACCGCCAGGAATAATTCCTGAGTGCAGAGCCAGGAATAACCCCTGTGACCCAAAAAGAAAAAAGAAAACAAAAGCAAAAGAAAACCACCGAATAGGGCTGGAGCGATATCCCAAACCCTGCCAGCAGTAAGTCTTGAATACCGCTGGGTGTGATCCCAAAACAAACAGAAAAAAATAAATAAATAAAAATCTAAATACAAGTCATTTATAATTATAGTACCAATGCAAATCTCTAAGAATTACAATGATTGTGATTTTAATTAAACTGGTACTAAATAGGATCTCTATGTGTAGGACTTCATATACATAAATAAGCTTAATAAATAAAAGCCAAATGAATATAACACAGCACTCTGAAAACAAATGTTTCCTTGTAGTGATGGGCAGAGTAGATTTCAGAAACCTCAAAATATAGGACACTGTCAAATTAAAGTCTATGTTAAAGCACCCAGTAATTAATAGCAGTACCTTACAAAAATTTAACTATATGCTAAAAACTGCACTGAACAACTGAGCATTCTAAGTACTTTAATCTTTTCAATTACTATATGATAGGTCTATCACACCAAATTTATATAAGCAATTTCTTTAATGACATTGAGTGAATAAAATGGGGGAGTTTGAACCCATGTGGTCTATACTACATTCATCTGAGATTCTTGCTAATTAGAATATAATGATCCTCTAAAATAAATTATTATTAAGTTTTAAAATTTGCAAAATTGTTTATAAGTAATTTATCAATTTGTTATGGATTTTGGTTTGTTTTGGGCCACACCAACAGTGCTCAGGGGTTAGTCCTGGCACTGCAATCAGGAATTATTTCTGATGGTGTTGTGGGACCACAGGGTGCCAGGGATTGAACCCAGAATAGTTGTGTTCAAGGCAAATGCCCTACCTACAATTCCTAAATTCCTAAAGCCACAAATTTGTTATGGCTTTAGGAATTTATTTTGTCTATTTTTCTGGGCCTCCCAAGCAACACACAGTGGTCCAGGTTCTAGTCCTGGCAATCCTTGGGTAACAGGGGCCAGACGGTTCAATGCACGGGACAGGTGATGGGATGCTGCTTTGACACAGCAACTAGGCGTTTTCAGGGGTACACGTGATAGTGACCAGGGTCCCTGTAGTGCACGGGACAGAACTTGGGGCTTAATGAGTTCTGACGATCTGAATAATCGCCCCAGCTTGTTTTTTTTTTAAGTCACGGACCAAGAATTTCTGAACTAATATTTGTAAATATTGAATAATCAATACATGAAAATGAACACTGGGCTTAAGAAATTATTTTACTTTAAAAAGGATAATTATTTAAAATTACTTTACTTCATTTATCAGTATAGTTTCAAAACACTGCTCAAAGACCTAATGAATTCCAGGTTGTATGTGAAAGCTTATATGCAAAATATTAAGATAAATATAGTTCATTTTCTAAAGCATCTATTTTCTTCAATGACACTTTAAATTGTTTTTATACTGCAATAAATATTGTCTAAAATGTTTTGAAGATAAAATATATATAACTTCAAACAAGTCTTGCTGAAAATTACAGACCTCAAGAAATGAGTTATATTCTGATGTTACAAGTGTCTGGACTTGGGGCCAGAGCTATAGTACAGCAGACAGGATGCTTGCCTTGCACGCAGAGGACCCAGGTTGAATCCCCCCAGCTCCCATATGGTCCCTCAAGCACTGCCAGGAGTAATTTCTGAGTGCAGAGTCCGGAGTAACCCCTGAGCACTGCCAGGTGTGACCCCCCCCCCTCAAAAAAGCAAAAACAAGAAACAAAACAAAAAACCCAAATGTTCTGGAAAAGCTTTGCCTAGGAGAGAGATTTAAATATAAAAGGAAAAATATTTAAAACATTCCCAAGGGGCTGGAGTGATAGCACAGTGGGCAGGGCTTTTGCCTTGCACGCGGCCAACCCAGGTTCGATTCCCAGCATCCCATATGGTCCCCTGAGCACTGCCAGGAGTAATTCCTGACTGCAGAGCCAGGTGTGACCCAAAAAGCCAAAAATAAAACAAAAACAAAACAAAACAAAAAAACCCACAAAACATTCCCAAGGCCAAGTATTTTCTTTCTTAACATGTCTCAGATTGAGGGCAGGGCACAAGTCTTACATAAACCTGACACAGGTTCAATTCCAGGCACCACCTTCCCTCTCTCCCCTCAGCAACCAACTATATGGCTCAGGAGGGCCCTGGTGATCTCTGGCACCCCACGGCCTCAGCAGCATGGCAGCCTCTGGCCTTCATTTTGGGCAAGTCTCACCAAAAGTCATCCTTGGATCCCCTGGGCACTGCTTTGGAAGCAGCAACCACCACACCCAAACAAACAAACAAACAAACAAACAAAAAGTATTGTGTCTTGAATCCAGTTTAATTACTCCCCTTCCTTCAAATTTTTCTAAGTGTATTTTACCCGTGGGCTGGAGCGATAGCACAATGGGTAGGGCGTTTGCCTTGCACGCAGCCAGCCCGGCCGAGCCGGGTTCAATTCCTCGTCCCTCTCGGAGAGCCCGGCAAGCTACCGACAGTATCTCGCCCCTACGGCAGAGCCTGGCAAGCTCCCCATGATGTATTCGGTATGCCAAACAGAGTCACAACAAGTCTCATGATGGAGACGTTACTGGGCCCGCTTGAGCAAATCAATGAACAACAGGAGGACAGTGACAGTGACAATGACAGTATTTTACCCTAGACTTGCATTACTGGGTTACCAATAATAATAAGTAAAGCAATCCAAACTACCTGTTCAAGCCCATGCTTTTATTCCAAATACATTTCCTTTTTCGATTTGCTATTCTAGTCAAATCCAGTGCTTTTCCCCTAATCTATTAAAGCAGCTTTCTTACTAACCTCCCTCTTCACTTTTGCTCCACTACTAAGTACCTGACAAAAGAAACAACTGCTTAAAATTATGATATAGTTCAGTGGTAGAGTACATTGCTCACATGTATAAGGACTGGGATTCAGCCCCAGAAGCTAAATAAAACATAAACCACAATGTATTCTCGCGAACTAACTATCCTCCACTATCTTACCATAACACTTCGGATAGACTCCAGATAGAATCAAAGTCCCTGTTCTAACTGTATTAAGCCTTCATGATTTGCCATCTGCCCTTTTCTTGGATTCTTCCCAGAAGTCCCATGCCCATATTATTAGCTATTCTGGCCTCTTTTAATCCTTCAGTCAAATATATTTTCACTTAAGGTCTTTTACAAATGTTCATTTTTCCTAAAATTCTCTCTGCTCTGCACTTATTAAGGCTTTCCATTTAGACTGCAATTCACACATATTTTACTAGGTAAGGTTTCTGAATACCCAACGGCAAAAAACATCCAGTCTTATACTCTAATATTTTTTGCATTACTTGATTACTGGTAATTTTGCCCATACATCATTAAGTTCCATGAGAACAGGATCTCACTATATTTCCAATAACTAAATAAATGCCCATTATACAAAAGATTCTTTATTACTTAACGAGTTATTAGATAAACATGTGAGTGACTTAAATCTCTAAGATGGTTTATAGACTTGAATTAGTAATTCTGAGGAATAAAATCTCATCCAAACTAGAACCAAATACCCAGGGAAGCAAAATGACCTTGTTCCTAGAAAGTGAGACTATTCTAAAAACACTCAAAATTTGCTTTCTTGGTGCCTACTACACATTTCAGGCACTATTAAAGGTATGAGGAATTCGCATCAGAAACGGAAGGTTAAGGACCCTTCCTCAACTGGTGATTGGGCCTAAATTACCTATTTTGAGAACAGAAAACACTGGTTGGCAAATCAAAGTATTAAACTTAATACTTAGTTGCTAGCCAAGTTATATTACATTCAAATTATGAGTGCCTAATTCATGTTACAAGAGAATGCTCCTCTTTTCATATTTTGGGGTCACACCCATGATGCTCAGGATTACTCCTGACTCTGCTTAGGGGACCATATGGAAAGCCAGAGACCGAACCCAGGTAGGCCAAGTGCAAGCGCCCTATCCACTGTACTATCTCTCTGTCCCCATGCTAGTTTATTTTAATGGGAGATAAAGTGTCTTGTTATCACAGACTTAGCCATGTGGAAAGAAGTATGTATACCTGTGGATGCTTGCCAGAAATGTGACATAAAATTCACACACAGAAATGGAGGGAAACAAAAAGAATTGAAGATCCTGGGGTCTCTTCTGATAGCCACAATGAGATCATAATCACAACAGTTATACATTCTTCGGTTCCAGTATTCTCAATATTAGAAATGAAGAGACAACCTCATAGGAAGGAGGTGCGAGTTAAAATCCATGATAGATCTCCATTCTTCTTTAGAAAAGTTTAATGTATCTCTTTGGTTTGGATTTTTTGGTGTAAGAAACATTTACTTACAAATGATGTAGCTACTCCTGCGTTGTGTTATTTATTTCAAAAATTAGCTCTGGGAAAAACTGTGGTATTTCTTCTGTATTACAGAAGATTACATAAAAGCAAATTAATGCAACAAGAAACCTACCATTCCATAAGCCTGTTGTTGGACCCAGTTGATATAATCATTCCTTATGTCTATCAACTCTTGTACTTCATGTATATAAAATTTGTCATACTGTATAATCTGTCCCGTTCTTTCATTTACCTACAAAAAAGTGCAATTAACATTAATTAACGAATTCTGACAGAAACTGAGAAACATTTAAGTTAAAAAATGGTTTCATTTCTTAGTGATTTTCTCTTCCAATTAAAAATAATTTACTGAGTGCCGACTACATACAAAACGCTAGCAAAGCGCTATGGTAAACACACAAATTTATAAAATACGGTATCTGCACTCAGTACCTCATAATCCAATAAAGAAGTAGTTACATAACCATCATACAGCATGACACGAGTACCATTAAAACATACACATAAACCAGAGGCTATAATGGCTGATGAATGACAACAGTAAACAATAGGAGTGTTTGCTGAATGTCACCATATACTGACAGATCACTGAACTAAGAATTGACACTTTGGCAAAAAAATTAATTACCATGCTAGAAATTCTTATGACAAAGGTTTAAAAATCAAATCACCCCACTCCCAATTTTTGAGCCACACCCAGTAGTGCTTGGGAATCATTCCTGGTGATACTGGGAATCCAACCAGGGGCTACCATATATTATAACACATGTGCTCGAGCCCTTTGAAATATTTTCCTAGTACAGTATAAACAAAGCTTTACAGTAGAAAGCATCACCTTATCAACTCAGCCAAGTAATCAAAATAACAATTAATCCTGGAACAATCCAGTTATTAAGTTCCTGCTGGTATATAATGCGAAAGGTAGCACTCTCCTCCCATTGTTCGATTTGCTCAACCAGGCACCAGGAACATCTCCATTGTGAGGGTTGTTGTTATTGTTTTGGCTATCAAATACGTCATGAGGAACTTGCCAGGCTCTGCCGTGTGGGCAGGATATTCTCAGTAGCTTGCTGGGCTCTCTGAGAGGGACGGAGGAATCGAACCTGGGTCAGACATGTGCAAGGCAAACGCCCTACCTGCTGTGCTATCGCTCCAGCCATGCAAAAGGAACATATATATTATGTATGATGTAGGGAAAAAAAAACCCTAAAATTGTTTAACCGGAATTTAATTAGTATAGGAGCAAAATTCCAGCTAATAAAATATACGAGTGATAGAAGAGCAAGGTTAAATTTCATCTTGAGAAAATAATAAAATGTAAAATTCTAGAACTTCAAAAAAAAAAACTGGTTACATGGGACTCTTCAGAAAGCCAAGGTAGTAAGGTAAAAAAAAAAAAAAGATGGGAATTGTTCTAAATTACAGGACTTAAAGATTCTGGTGTCTGATATAGCAGAGCAGTTTATATAAGATTGATGATCTTCTGATAATAGCAATTATAAACTGGATTAATATTAAAAAAAATCCCTCCACTATCCTAAAAACATTGAAGAACATCAGGAAATAACAGGAATAGACATTTGAGACCCACATTTTTCCCCACAGAAAGACTTCCAACTCTGTATAACAAATACAGTTCAAGCAGAAAATAATGTTATCAAAGAAATCATAATTCAAAGATTGGGACTGCCAAAATGCTTAGAAAGTAAGAAAAACTCATAGAAATGGAAAAGTCCCAAAATCTTTATGCAATTTTCCCCTACATTTTGGCTAATTTTCAAACAAATAACAAACATGGTTGGGCTGGAGCAATAGCACAGCGGGTAGGCGTTTGCCTTGCACATGGCCAACCCAGGTTCGATTCCTCCATCCCTCTTGGAGAGCCTGGCAAGCTACGGACAGTATCCCGGCCCTACGGCAGAGCCTGCAAACTCCCTATGACATATTCGACATGCCAAAAACAGTAACAACAAGTCTCACTTCGTGTTCCTGGAGCGAGCAGATGCCATTGGGCTACACTAGCTCACGACAGGGACTAAAGGAGACGTCCCTGGTGCCTGCTTGAGCAAATCGACGAACAATGGGATGACAGTGCTACAGTGCTACAACATACGTGGTTATGCTACGGGTTTCAAACAAAAAAGCAAACAGAAAGAAAACATGGCTAGACAGAGGACAGGGTGCTGGCCTTATACACACCCAACTCCTGTTCAATCCCTGGCATTTCACATGTTCCCCCAACACCGCCAGGAATGATTCCTGAGTGCAGAAAAGGAGTAACCCCTGGGCACTGCTAAGTGTGACCCCCAAATTAAAAACAAACTAACAAAAATTTCCAAATCCCCCCACCCCATCAGAAGGCAACAACTACAGGGCTATATATTTTGGACGGACAGAACAATACCAGCATCATAGTTGGAAATTTAAGCACACTAGTCTTTGTAACTAGTTTTCAAAAAGACAAAAATGTCTGAGTTTATATTAAAACATTTTTTTTAAAGTAAAACAGATTTTACTCGGAGGGTTTTTAGAAGGGGAAGGAGGAAGAGAAAGAGAGAGAGAGAGAGAGAGAGAGAGAGAGAGAGAGAGAGAGAGAGAAACGCACTCAAGAGAGACCGTGAGCTTCTCCAAAGGTGGAGAGAGCCCCTACACACATACGAGCATTAGATACAAAAGCATCAAAGTACACATTCTCAAGAGGGGAGATGTGGGCAACACACGTGCTCAGACACATGGGCACAAGCAACACATGGGCTCAGGCAGCACATGCATGCTATATTTAAACATTTTCAATTTGAGCTCACTATCATAAAACATTCTACCCAGAAATTATATATGGGATATTGAGAAAAGAAAGCCATATGTGGATCATTAAACAAATCTTAATAAATACATAAAGAATCCAAAGTATACAAAGTGTTCTATCTAACCATACTTAGAATAAAACTAAGTCAGCAACAGAAAGATATCTGTAAAATTCTAGAACATTGAAAAACACCTTTAAATTACCCATAACTTTTCTTGAATTAACTAAAGAACTAAAACACAAGATAACCAAGTAGCCTAAATTCCAAGAATAGATTGTACTTCCAAAGATAAACAGGATTTCAGAAGCAGTCTCCTTAGAGTTTTGTGGCAGAGTAAGAAGAAAATCATACAGCAGAGAAGGGTCACTTCAAACTGTCAGAAATTTCTTCAGGCTATAAGATGATATAAAATTCCTGGATGACCCTGATAGTTTGCACCCGCTCGTTTTCCTTTTTCCAGACCTTCACAGCCTATGATGATGAAAATGAGCAGATCAAGAGCGTATGGTGTAAGAACTGGTTGTCACTATGAGAAAGGAACAAGGACTGCCATGTGATCTAGATCCTTCTTTTGTATTCACTGAGCAAACGTCATAGATCACTGAGGATAGGGAAGTAAAGTCTATGTCCCCTTCCCCCACTCCGCTCCCTCTTTTCTGTTATTTAACGGAAGGAAAAACAAATTCTTATTCTTAACAAGCCTAGATGCCCCCACAACTGCTGGAAGAAAAAAAAAAAGCACAACACTGCCACTAAGTTCCATGTATGAGCTACAGGCATATGTGATCCATTGAAGACGGAGGTAATATGACTGCAAAAGAGAACACTATCCCTCTTCTTTCTTTTTTGGTTAGGAATGATGTGGGACCAAATCCAGTTGGGGCTCTGACATACAAAGCATTCAAAAAGCCCTTTGCGCCATCTCTCTGGTCCCCTTCTACCAATCTTGAAACAACAACCACCACTTGTTTACCTCAGACGTGGGTCAACTAAAGACAAAAACCTTTTCCTATGGAGCAGGTATGCAAGCATGCAAAGTGAAGCACAAACACGGAGAAGAGCCCTTTGATATTTTTAATTCCATCCTAGGCATATGGCAACATTAGAAGAATCTGAGGCATCTGTTCAGCGAAGAAAAATCTAAGGCACCTGTGTAATAGTTGAAATCTACTTCATTCCCCAATATTTTATAGACAATCAAAATTATGAATCAGATCAAAAGGCAAATAAGCCAAATAAGGTAAAAGACAAAAAGTCTATAGACTTTTATAGTGATCAGTGACATTTCAATGTCATAGAGAGAAAACAGCAACTTTTTCTATCCAAAGCAGACACTGTTAAAGCGGAATACAGAAATATAAAATTAACTATCATAGTGAAAACCAAAGAAAAGTAAAAAATCAATGATCAGCTTCAGCCTTTTTTAAAAACCTAAGATGATGAAGTGAAGAAAAAAATCAGAGCAAAGGAAATGAAGAGCAGAAACTGAAAGAGGAAAAAAAGAGGAAAATCAATGAGGCAAATTTTATTGGTTGTATAAGACTAGTAAAACTGATATGACTCTAGCTATATTGACCAGTAGAAAGACAAAAATTACCATTACTGAGAATAAAAGAAGCAACATTATCACACAGATTATTTTACAAAGTTGACAAGAAAACAAAATGAAACAAAAAAAAACCTTAGTTACACAGTATTTCTCTTTTAAATAATAAAATATTTCCCAGAAGATAACCCTGAGCCAAGATGGCTTCATTTAATTCCATCACAAGATGGTTAGTTACCATATGGAAAAAATATTGTCTATCTTAAACTCAGAAAAGAAAGAGAAGTCATTCCTGGACCCACTTTAGAAAGCCAGAATAACCCAATGATACTTAAAACTGACAAGAAATACAAGAAACAAAAATTACACCTTATGAATACAGCCATAAAATCCTCCACAAAATAATGGCAAATTAAATCTAAAAGTATGTATAAAGAGTTATAGTGTCCAAGGAGAATTTATTCCAAGCAATGCAATATTTAAATATTGACAATTTCACTGTATTTGAAAAAAAATTTGTTCACCTTAATCAACTTCTATTTCATAAACATTAGCACCCCTTCATAACATGCAGCAAACCAGAATACACAAGGATTTCTTCAAATAGTCAAGCAAATTTTTTTTAATTAAAACTAGAATCTTACATTTACCATTATACTTACTAAAATTGATCCCCCCCATTAAGAACTAGGTAAGAATGTCCCCTTTAACCATTTATAATCAACACTGAGTCGTAGGCAATCAAATTAAGCAATAACATGATTGTATACAGAAAAACCCAAATGAATCCATAGAAGAATTATTAGAATTAATAATTTACCAGCATCATGGAGGGCAAAGTAAATACACAAACCCTACAAAATTTTTCTGTAACAGCAA